TTCACTGCCCCTTCCCCTCCTCACACACTCACCGGGATCACCGGGCACAGGTCCTCAGCTGTTGAAAGGTGTGAGATATACAAAGGGAATTTACCCCACACACACCCCCAGCCAGGGCTGCACTCACCCCCCAGTCCCACATCGGGCACTTCATAAGCTGGGCTCTGGCCTCACCCAGCAGCCTGGTGCCGCGGCAGCCCCCAAGCCTACCCACAGCCTGCCCTCTGCCCTCTGCAATGCCCTTCCCTGCTGCCTTCCCCTCGTTCCTTCCACCAAAACTTCTGGGCCTGGCCAGTGTCAGGAGGTCAAAAGAAGCCAGGATGGAGGGCTGGGGAGGGCAAGAGACCCCAGGTCAGGGGACAGACAGAGGAGAGAGAGACAGAGTGAGCAAGACAGGTGGCCAGCTGGGTTCCTAACGGCTGAGGCTGGGTGTCAGGATGAGCACCTATCGGGGACAAGCACTTGTCACAGTATTTCTGAAATCTGTACCCAAAGGGGACCCATCAAGTGGCAGATGAGTAAGTTCAGCTGCACCTCTGTACCCAGTCCTCTTTTACTTTGCCTTTACATTTCCCCAGCCCCCCTGAGCCAAGAGGTCTGAGGCTCGCCCTCCCGTCCCTTCGGCGGCCTCACTAAACCTTTCCTTGCGGCCTATTCCAAGTCTCCGTCATTGTCTCTGCTGCATAACGAACGTGCAGACAGACTGGGGCTCCTCTCTGTGAGGCTTGGAGTCACTAGGCTGGGTCTCCCTTTAGGCAAAAAAAAACTTCTGAGGGATGAAGTGGGCTGACAGGTGGGGGCACTGGGGCCTGGCCCTTTCTGCCCAGTGGGGACTCCCCGCTCTGCAGCTCCCACCAGGTTGGCAGAGATGTCAGCCCTGCGAAGCAATCTGGGGGCTCCCTCTCCTCTCACGGGGTGGGACCTGCACTGCTCTCTGAGGGCTCCCCCTGCCCATCCTGCTTCCTCCCCCTTCATCCCAACAAACCCCTGGCCCACCTAACTCCATCTTGGCAACTGCATCCCACGGACCTCACCTGATACCACAGAGGTGCAGCTTGCTTTGCCTCATTGTGCCCCCGCTGGAGCCCCCAAAATAATGAATACACACAAGTTAAAACCTTTGTGCTATATTTCAATGATCATATATAATAAATAAGTGCTTTTCACATTAAAAAAATACAGTGGTTGCATATATAACCTAATTTTGGAAATAATATCAAACATTAAATGTGTGGTCCCTTAAGCAGGAGGCCCCAGCTAGGTGGCTCTCCTTCCCTCCTGCCCATGTGGAAGCACAGCCAGACATCAGGTCTGAGAGTCCCTGCAAGATCATCCCTGGCTGCACTGGGTAGTCCATGCTACGTTCCCATAACACCCTAATCTCTGTGACTAGATGATTACCAAGTACTTCCATTCCAGTCAGAGTCACCTCTGACAGCCCCCCAATTTGGCAGGGAGAGGCTGAAGGTCCTGGCACAGAGCAAGCACTCAGTAAATGACTGAGGCATGTGTCCCCAAAAGGACACCATATACTGTAAGACTCATCTATACAGTGTTCCCACAGATTTACAAAATGCCAGGGACTAAAGATCAAGTGGCTCCTTCAGTCTGGAGTACACATGGAGGTCGGGAAAGGAAACTGTTCATTATAACCTTTCCTCAAGCCAAGGGACCCAGGGGCACCCAGCCAGGCACCCCTGGGGCTCTGGAACAGGATCCCTCACAGGCAGGAGGGAAGAAATTCTATCCACCTTCTGCTGTGCTTCTCTGCAAAGGAGAAGACTTCTTGGTTACTGGTGAAGACAAGAGGCCCAGCAGCCTCTTCTGTTGGGGGAGCCCTAAGCTAGCCTCAGCGAGGCTCTGAGGCAGGATCACCAGCCAGGGACCCTGGGTCACATAGGGCTCCAAGGGCTGGTGCTAAACATCTCCAGTGGCTTCATTTGTTCTTTCTGGCCCCGGGTCTTGAAGAATTCTATCAAGGAAGACAAGTCACTCTCATCATCAGAAAGCTGCGGAGAGATAAGGAAAAAAAAGAAAATGCATTCTGACAAGAGGATGAAAATGCTCGATAGACATGACGGCAAGATACAGGTCTAGAAGAAGCAGAAGGGAGACACATCTTCTCCTGCTTTCTCACCTCTCCCTGTCTTTGAAGACCTGATTCAGAGACCTGGAGTCAGAGTGATTTCAAACCCTCCTGAAATGTCACTGGCCAAACCAAAGCAGGCTCTTTGGAAAGGCTTAGGGCGAATCAGGTTGTTCTTATAATTTAAACGTTGTCCAGATTTTTAAATTCTCCACATTGATGGAGCTAAAAGCCCAGAGCCTTGACTTTTCTGAATTACTGAGCTGAGTGCAGCAGGGGCTACAGTGCCCCCCAACCCAACCTCCTCTCAGGCAGCTTCTCCAGGGCCAGGTAAACACCCTGACTAGAGGATGAGCAAGGCAGCTCCAGAGCACCAACAAGCCTCGTCTGGAAAGGGTATGGCCTGCAGCCAACAGGAGAGCCCAGAGTGGGCCGAGGGCCCGGCTACCCCAGACTACAGTTCCTTGGGCACTGAAGCCACCTGGGCTTTGATGGGAACATCCTATGCTTTTTCTCCCAAATGTAAGAGACAGTGAGGTCACCTGCAATGGCTCATTAGGGCCAAGGCTGACACTCACTAGACCCCAACCCCAGGACCCCTAAACTTGGAGTTGGCTCTGTTGGAAATGGCAAGGCAACCTCCAAGAGCCCTACACCCTACCTGAGACTTCGTTCCTGAGACGGCAGACCTCTGGGGCCCACCTTTGGACTTTAAGAACAGCTTGATCCCTCCATCAGGCTTCTTCACTGGAAACTCTAGCTCTTGCTCAAAGTTTTTGACTAATGACTGCACCAGTGTTTCTGGAAAGCAACCGGGGGGGGACTATATCAGAGAATGAATGCCTCATCTTCATACATCATGACTAGGCTCTGGCGTGGATAGAGGGAGTGTGGAGAAGGGTCAGGAGGAAAAAGGAAAGGCAACCACAAAGAATGAAAAGAAGAGTAAGGACAGAGAGATGACTTTTTTTTTTTTTTTTTTTTTTTTTTTGCAGTCAGCCAGCTTGTTTATTTGAATTTGTTGAGTGGAAGAAGGAGTGAGATCAAGGCTATAGCTTTGGCCATGCCCACAGAAGTGGAACTGAGCCTATCAGGCTGCTGCCGAAGCTGCCCATGCCACCACACAGCTGTTCTCACAACCGGGGCCATGTGTTCAGCTTCCCCAGCCCCGAGAGCAAGCCCCCCGCGAGGGCTCTCTCCACCTGACCACCCTAAAATTCTTGCCTTGTCCTGTTCCTCACCCAGAACTGGCACCAGCAGGTCTGGGCTCTGCCTTCTTGCTGCCCAGCCCTGGGCAGAGAACAAGGCCACCAGGGAGGAGGTGGGTGACAGGAACTGCCTAGGAAGTGGCTGCACCCTTCTAACAGGCCTCCCCTCGCAGCACCCGCCCCAGGCCAGACGTGGATCCAAGCAGCAGCCACCGCTGCCCTGGTCCTCTGGTCAGACGTGTGGGGAAGGAGGCCAGCTCTGCAGTCCCCACTTCCCATCAACATGGGCGACAGTGGGCACAGGGCTACTTCAGCCACCAGGTTCCCTGGCCCTAGTGAAAAACAGAGCCATGTACAACGTGTACCAAAGAAAAGAGGCTGCGACCATCCTACACATATAGCTGCACCTAACAACGTGGCTGCGCACAGAGCTTAGGAAGCCGTGCTTCCCTCTCGCTGGGTGGCGGAGGCAGGACCTCCACGCAGCTGGTATGTGAAAAGCAAGACTAACAAGCAAATACAGCCTCCTCCAACATCTTCACTGAGAAGAAAAGAAATGTTGGAAATAGAAATCATCACAGAGGGACCGAGGGCCAGAGGGGTTTCTGCAAACTCTATGCGGGCAGGGGGCGGGCAGCCTGGGTGGCTCAGGGGTTTAGCGCCGCCTTCAGCCCAGGGCGTGATCCTGGACACCCGCAATCCAGTCCCGCGTCGGGCTCCCTGCATGGAGCCTGCTCCTCTCTGCCTGTGTCTCTGCCGCTATCTCTCTGTGTGTCTCTCATGAATAAATAAACCAATCTTAAAAAAAAAAAAAAAGGAAGGGGGCCTAAGCAGGGACATAGATTATCAATAGACTCCTGGCAACCTGCCAAACCACGGTGATATCCAGACCTCAGGAACGCCCAGGAAGCAGGGCGCCAACCACCACCTCATAAGATTCAAATGTCAGAGGGTCTGACCAGACGTCTGGTGCTACAACAGCCCTAGGTTCATTGATTCGTTCCAGAATTGCTTGTTAAAGGACACCTGGGAGGCTCAGTTAGTTCAGCATCCGACTCTTGATTTTGGCTCAGGTCATGAACTCAGGATTGTGAGATCGAGTCCCGAGTCGGACTCTGTGCTCAGCAAGGAGTCTGCTTGAGATTCTCTCTTCCTCTTCCCCTGCCCCTTTCTCTGCTCACTCATTCACACACCCGTGCCCCCCTCTCAAATAAATAAGTAAAATCTTTTCAAGAAGCAAAGAATTGTTCGTTAAGGGCTACTTTGTGTCAGGCGCTGTGTTCCTCACCCCTGATTAATTGTCTTGTCCTGACACCTCATTTTACAGCAAAGGAACCAAAACCCCTCACTCAAGCACAAGCAGGTAGCAAACGACAGAGCTCAGACTGTATCAGAGGACTCCTGACTCCTGCTTCCAACACCCTGCCACCCTATCGTCCCACCTGGTTGCTATCAGTACTTCTCCAAAGCTCTGGTGCTGGTGGATTCCATGTGACAAAACAAGGGGCAAAATAAACCTCACTCAGATTCTTTCTTCTGAATCTCTGCAATCCCAGGAAAATGTCTACTGGGACAAAAGGTCATTCTCTCCAAGTCACAATGAGTTGCCAAATCAGAAAACCCAAAGAAGATTATAGGGTATTTCCAGAACTAGAGAAATCTGAGCTGGAGAGCTCAGCTCACTCACCTGAGGAAGCCAGCCTTACCTGAGCTCTGGTCAGGGTGTTGGGGACTCTCCTCCAAAGTCTCAATCTCAGTGCATTCCCAGCCAACCCGTGCCTGGGGCCTCTTCCTGAAAGGATCTTGTAGGGGCTGGAGAAATGTCCGCTGCTCAGAATTTCCTTTTGAGTCCTCTTCCAAACTGAATGGGGGCGTACTGTCACAGAGGGGAAGAAATGAAGGCTATATGGACCAGAAAAACTTTAAAAGCCATACCTTGCCACTTGCAAGTGGGTTTGGTTTGCCCCTTCAGCCAGCCCTGCTCCTTCTTTGGGCACAGGTGACAGCCAAGAGTCACCCTGGAGTACAGCAGCCACACCAGCAATGCTGTTAGAAGATGAGGACCGAACCCCTCCCGACCAGTAACTAAGGCTCAAGGAAGAGATGGGGAAGGAAAGGGTAGGTTTGTCCTGGCTGAGAGCCAAGGACTCGGTCTCTTCATGGGAGCTTGGGATGGACCCCACCTGAGGCCCCTCATGTTCACTTCCGTCTCGGTCCCTCACCTGTCTCTGGAGCAGGGCTGCCTGAGGCTGCGAGTGCAGAGTGTGGGACTCACCTTAGCCCAGGCCTCAGGGACGCAGGGGAGCCGAAGGGTCCGTGTGCGCTCTGATGTAGAATAGGGGCAGGTACCTGAGCCAGGCCAGGGCCATGGCCTTCGAGGCTCTGACGAGTTTCCATGGGTACCTCTGCCCGCATGGATGGCAATGACACAGGAAGGGTCTTGGGCTTTGGCTGGGCCTCTTTGATGGCCTTTGGGCCCCGCTGCCTTTCTACTAGAAACACAGAATGAAATGAGTTCCAGGGCATGACCATGTGGGCCCTCGAGCCTGAAGGGAGGTTCCAGAATGCTAGAAATGGACTAGTCACTCTATCACTCTGTACCGTAATAACCACAGCCAATATAATCATTGCCCCCACCCCCAGGCGTCCTGCCGCCTGCCAGACTTGGGCCTTGGGACCCACCCACAGTCCTCCAAGCGAGACCGGGAGAGAAGCTGGTGTTCTAGGGTCATGTCATCACTCCAGGAGTCCCACAGGAATCGGCATGTCTGAAGAGGGGCCCAGCTGGTCCGCAGCTGAGCCCTCCCAGTGCCGACCAAGGGGCTGGCCTCACCAACAGCACCTACCCTCTCTACCACCTGGCCTGCGCCAGCAGAGTGCAGGCCACCTGCAGGAAGGCCATGCTGCCACCAGAGGACGCCACACGACCACATGGGCATCCAGAGCCACCAAGTCCCCCCCTAACTCGTGGGTGGCAGGAGTGCTATAGGCAGGCCCGCAGACCCTCCTTTTTCTGAATTGCATCAAGTCCCATTAGGGCAGGATGGGAGGCAGGGGGGTCCAGGATCAGGATCAGCATTTTTTTTTTTTCTGGAAAGAGATGTGCTTTGCAGGGGATCAGGGTAAGTAAGTACTGTTCCACTGTTCCCGTGAAACGCACGTGTGTGGGCTGTCACTGCGTAAAACGTGTTTCCGACTGTGGTTCAAGATAGAAAACATCTGGAATACACTGCTCTCAGATAATGCATTGACACAGAAGTGGGTCTCCTAGGACGGGCAGGCCGGAGGGAAGGGGAAAGCAGACCAACTGGCTGAGGCAAAGTACCGACAGCTAACTACTGCACACGGACTACAGCACCCACCGAGCCCAGAGCCCTTAGGAGAGTGTCCTTCTCCTTCCTCTCCCGAGGCTGCGAGAGATCCAGGCACTCAATCGACACCCACAGTTCCACGGAAGGAAGGGGTAGGTGCAAACCCAGGTCATGGGCCACCCCAAATCTAGCACTCTTGCCACTCATGGGTGGGTCTCATTCCACAGCTCTGGTCCAGAACAAAAGCAACACTATCTAAGCAGAGATCAGAGTTGCCCATTCACACAACACTTATGGGCCCTAGGAAAGGAGCATGTGGGCATAGGCCGGAAAGAGAGATCTAGAAAATGTTCTTGCCTTGTCCTGCTCTTCACCCAGACCTGGCACCAGCAGGTCTGGGCTCTGCCTTCTTGCTGCCCAGCCCTGGGCAGAGAACAAGGCCACCAGGGAGGAGGTGGGTGACAGGAACTGCCTAGGAAGTGGCTGCACCCTTCTAACAGGCCTCCCCGCCCAGCACCCACCCCAGGCCAGACGTGGATCCAAGCAGCAGCCACCGCTGCCCTGGTACTCTGGTCAGACGTGTGGGGAAGGAGGCCAGCTCTGCAGTCCCCACTTCCCATCAACATGGGCGACAGTGGGCACAGGGCTACTTCAGCCACCAGGTTCCCTGGCCCTAGTGAAAAACAGAGCCATGTACAACGTGTACCAAAGAAAAGAGGCTGCGACCATCCTACACATATAGCTGCACCTAACAACGTGGCTGCGCACAGAGCTTAGGAAGCCGTGCTTCCCTCTCGCTGGGTGGCGGAGGCAGGACCTCCACGCAGCTGGTATGTGAAAAGCAAGACTAACAAGCAAATACAGCCTCCTCCAACATCTTCACTGAGAAGAAAAGAAATGTTGGAAATAGAAATCATCACAGAGGGACCGAGGGCCAGAGGGGTTTCTGCAAACTCTATGCGGGCAGGGGGCGGGCAGCCCGGGTGGCTCAGGGGTTTAGCGCCGCCTTCAGCCCAGGGCGTGATCCTGGACACCCGCAATCCAGTCCCGCGTCGGGCTCCCTGCATGGAGCCTGCTCCTCTCTGCCTGTGTCTCTGCCGCTATCTCTCTGTGTGTCTCTCATGAATAAATAAATCAATCTTAAAAAAAAAAAAAAAGGAAGGGGGCCTAAGCAGGGACATAGATTATCAATAGACTCCTGGCAACCTGCCAAACCACGGTGATATCCAGACCTCAGGAACGCCCAGGAAGCAGGGCGCCAACCACCACCTCATAAGATTCAAATGTCAGAGGGTCTGACCAGACGTCTGGTGCTACAACAGCCCTAGGTTCATTGATTCGTTCCAGAATTGCTTGTTAAAGGACACCTGGGAGGCTCAGTTAGTTCAGCATCCGACTCTTGATTTTGGCTCAGGTCATGAACTCAGGATTGTGAGATCGAGTCCCGAGTCGGACTCTGTGCTCAGCAAGGAGTCTGCTTGAGATTCTCTCTTCCTCTTCCCCTGCCCCTTTCTCTGCTCACTCATTCACACACCCGTGCCCCCCTCTCAAATAAATAAGTAAAATCTTTTCAAGAAACAAAGAATTGTTCGTTAAGGGCTACTTTGTGTCAGGCGCTGTGTTCCTCACCCCTGATTAATTGTCTTGTCCTGACACCTCATTTTACAGCAAAGGAACCAAAACCCCTCACTCAAGCACAAGCAGGTAGCAAACGACAGAGCTCAGACTGTATCAGAGGACTCCTGACTCCTGCTTCCAACACCCTGCCACCCTATCGTCCCACCTGGTTGCTATCAGTACTTCTCCAAAGCTCTGGTGCTGGTGGATTCCATGTGACAAAACAAGGGGCAAAATAAACCTCACTCAGATTCTTTCTTCTGAATCTCTGCAATCCCAGGAAAATGTCTACTGGGACAAAAGGTCATTCTCTCCAAGTCACAATGAGTTGCCAAATCAGAAAACCCACAGAAGATTATAGGGTATTTCCAGAACTAGAGAAATCTGAGCTGGAGAGCTCAGCTCACTCACCTGAGGAAGCCAGCCTTACCTGAGCTCTGGTCAGGGTGTTGGGGACTCTCCTCCAAAGTCTCAATCTCAGTGCATTCCCAGCCAACCCGTACCTGGGGCCTCTTCCTGAAAGGATCTTGTAGGGGCTGGACAAATGTCCGCTGCTCAGAATTTCCTTCTGAGTCCTCTTCCAAACTGAATGGGGGCGTACTGTCACAGAGGGGAAGAAATGAAGGCTATATGGACCAGAAAAACTTTAAAAGCCATACCTTGCCACTTGCAAGTGGGTTTGGTTTGCCCCTTCAGCCAGCCCTGCTCCTTCTTTGGGCACAGGTGACAGCCAAGAGTCACCCTGGAGTACAGCAGCCACACCAGCAATGCTGTTAGAAGATGAGGACCGAACCCCTCCCGACCAGTAACTAAGGCTCAAGGAAGAGATGGGGAAGGAAAGGGTAGGTTTGTCCTGGCTGAGAGCCAAGGACTCGGTCTCTTCATGGGAGCTTGGGATGGACCCCACCTGAGGCCCCTCATGTTCACTTCCATCTCGGTCCCTCACCTGTCTCTGGAGCAGGGCTGCCTGAGGCTGCGAGTGCAGAGTGTGGGACTCACCTTAGCCCAGGCCTCAGGGACGCAGGGGAGCCGAAGGGTCCGTGTGCGCTCTGATGTAGAATAGGGGCAGGTACCTGAGCCAGGCCAGGGCCATGGCCTTCGAGGCTCTGACGAGTTTCCATGGGTACCTCTGCCCGCATGGATGGCAATGACACAGGAAGGGTCTTGGGCTTTGGCTGGGCCTCTTTGATGGCCTTTGGGCCCCGCTGCCTTTCTACTAGAAACACAGAATGAAATGAGTTCCAGGGCATGACCATGTGGGCCCTCGAGCCTGAAGGGGGGTTCCAGAATGCTAGAAATGGACTAGTCACTCTATCACTCTGTACCGTAATAACCACAGCCAATATAATCATTGCCCCCACCCCAGGCGTCCTGCCGCCTGCCAGACTTGGGCCTTGGGACCCACCCACAGTCCTCCAAGCGAGACCGGGAGAGAAGCTGGTGTTCTAGGGTCATGTCATCACTCCAGGAGTCCCACAGGAATCGGCATGTCTGAAGAGGGGCCCAGCTGGTCCGCAGCTGAGCCCTCCCAGTGCCGACCAAGGGGCTGGCCTCACCAACAGCACCTACCCTCTCTATCAGGAAGGCCATGCTGCAGGAAGGCCATGCTGCCACCAGAGGTCGCGACACGACCACATGGGCATCCAGAGCCACCAAGTCCCCCCCAAACTTGTGGGTGGCAGGAGTGCTAAAGGCAGGCCCGCAGACCCTCCTTTTTCTGAATTGCATCAAGTCCCATTAGGGCAGGATGGGAGGCAGGGGGGTCCAGGATCAGGATCAGCATTTTTTTTTTTTCTGGAAAGAGATGTGCTTTGCAGGGGATCAGGGTAAGTAAGTACTGTTCCACTGTTCCCGTGAAACGCACGTGTGTGGGCTGTCACTGCGTAAAACGTGTTTCCGACTGTGGTTCAAGATAGAAAACATCTGGAATACACTGCTCTCAGATAATGCATTGACACAGAAGTGGGTCTCCTAGGACGGGCAGGCCGGAGGGAAGGGGAAAGCAGACCAACTGGCTGAGGCAAAGTACCGACAGCTAACTACTGCACACGGACTACAGCACCCACCGAGCCCAGAGCCCTTAGGAGAGTGTCCTTCTCCTTCCTCTCCCGAGGCTGCGAGAGATCCAGGCACTCAATCGACACCCACAGTTCCACGGAAGGAAGGGGTAGGTGCAAACCCAGGTCATGGGCCACCCCAAATCTAGCACTCTTGCCACTCATGGGTGGGTCTCATTCCACAGCTCTGGTCCAGAACAAAAGCAACACTATCTAAGCAGAGATCAGAGTTGCCCATTCACACAACACTTATGGGCCCTAGGAAAGGAGCATGTGGGCATAGGCCGGAAAGAGAGATCTAGAAAATGTTCTTGCCTTGTCCTGCTCTTCACCCAGACCTGGCACCAGCAGGTCTGGGCTCTGCCTTCTTGCTGCCCAGCCCTGGGCAGAGAACAAGGCCACCAGGGAGGAGGTGGGTGACAGGAACTGCCTAGGAAGTGGCTGCACCCTTCTAACAGGCCTCCCTCCCAGCACCCACCCCAGGCCAGACGTGGATCCAAGCAGCAGCCACCGCTGCCCTGGTCCTCTGGTCAGACGTGTGGGGAAGGAGGCCAGCTCTGCAGTCCCCACTTCCCATCAACATGGGCGACAGTGGGCACAGGGCTACTTCAGCCACCAGGTTCCCTGGCCCTAGTGAAAAACAGAGCCATGTACAACGTGTACCAAAGAAAAGAGGCTGCGACCATCCTACACATATAGCTGCACCTAACAACGTGGCTGCGCACAGAGCTTAGGAAGCCGTGCTTCCCTCTCGCTGGGTGGCGGAGGCAGGACCTCCACGCAGCTGGTATGTGAAAAGCAAGACTAACAAGCAAATACAGCCTCCTCCAACATCTTCACTGAGAAGAAAAGAAATGTTGGAAATAGAAATCATCACAGAGGGACCGAGGGCCAGAGGGGTTTCTGCAAACTCTATGCGGGCAGGGGGCGGGCAGCCCGGGTGGCTCAGGGGTTTAGCGCCGCCTTCAGCCCAGGGCGTGATCCTGGACACCCGCAATCCAGTCCCGCGTCGGGCTCCCTGCATGGAGCCTGCTCCTCTCTGCCTGTGTCTCTGCCGCTATCTCTCTGTGTGTCTCTCATGAATAAATAAATCAATCTTAAAAAAAAAAAAAAAGGAAGGGGGCCTAAGCAGGGACATAGATTATCAATAGACTCCTGGCAACCTGCCAAACCACGGTGATATCCAGACCTCAGGAACGCCCAGGAAGCAGGGCGCCAACCACCACCTCATAAGATTCAAATGTCAGAGGGTCTGACCAGACGTCTGGTGCTACAACAGCCCTAGGTTCATTGATTCGTTCCAGAATTGCTTGTTAAAGGACACCTGGGAGGCTCAGTTAGTTCAGCATCCGACTCTTGATTTTGGCTCAGGTCATGAACTCAGGATTGTGAGATCGAGTCCCGAGTCGGACTCTGTGCTCAGCAAGGAGTCTGCTTGAGATTCTCTCTTCCTCTTCCCCTGCCCCTTTCTCTGCTCACTCATTCACACACCCGTGCCCCCCTCTCAAATAAATAAGTAAAATCTTTTCAAGAAACAAAGAATTGTTCGTTAAGGGCTACTTTGTGTCAGGCGCTGTGTTCCTCACCCCTGATTAATTGTCTTGTCCTGACACCTCATTTTACAGCAAAGGAACCAAAACCCCTCACTCAAGCACAAGCAGGTAGCAAACGACAGAGCTCAGACTGTATCAGAGGACTCCTGACTCCTGCTTCCAACACCCTGCCACCCTATCGTCCCACCTGGTTGCTATCAGTACTTCTCCAAAGCTCTGGTGCTGGTGGATTCCATGTGACAAAACAAGGGGCAAAATAAACCTCACTCAGATTCTTTCTTCTGAATCTCTGCAATCCCAGGAAAATGTCTACTGGGACAAAAGGTCATTCTCTCCAAGTCACAATGAGTTGCCAAATCAGAAAACCCACAGAAGATTATAGGGTATTTCCAGAACTAGAGAAATCTGAGCTGGAGAGCTCAGCTCACTCACCTGAGGAAGCCAGCCTTACCTGAGCTCTGGTCAGGGTGTTGGGGACTCTCCTCCAAAGTCTCAATCTCAGTGCATTCCCAGCCAACCCGTACCTGGGGCCTCTTCCTGAAAGGATCTTGTAGGGGCTGGAGAAATGTCCGCTGCTCAGAATTTCCTTCTGAGTCCTCTTCCAAACTGAATGGGGGCGTACTGTCACAGAGGGGAAGAAATGAAGGCTATATGGACCAGAAAAACTTTAAAAGCCATACCTTGCCACTTGCAAGTGGGTTTGGTTTGCCCCTTCAGCCAGCCCTGCTCCTTCTTTGGGCACAGGTGACAGCCAAGAGTCACCCTGGAGTACAGCAGCCACACCAGCAATGCTGTTAGAAGATGAGGACCGAACCCCTCCCGACCAGTAACTAAGGCTCAAGGAAGAGATGGGGAAGGAAAGGGTAGGTTTGTCCTGGCTGAGAGCCAAGGACTCGGTCTCTTCATGAGAGCTTGGGATGGACCCCACCTGAGGCCCCTCATGTTCACTTCCATCTCGGTCCCTCACCTGTCTCTGGAGCAGGGCTGCCTGAGGCTGCGAGTGCAGAGTGTGGGACTCACCTTAGCCCAGGCCTCAGGGACGCAGGGGAGCCGAAGGGTCCGTGTGCGCTCTGATGTAGAATAGGGGCAGGTACCTGAGCCAGGCCAGGGCCATGGCCTTCGAGGCTCTGACGAGTTTCCATGGGTACCTCTGCCCGCATGGATGGCAATGACACAGGAAGGGTCTTGGGCTTTGGCTGGGCCTCTTTGATGGCCTTTGGGCCCCGCTGCCTTTCTACTAGAAACACAGAATGAAATGAGTTCCAGGGCATGACCATGTGGGCCCTCGAGCCTGAAGGGGGGTTCCAGAATGCTAGAAATGGACTAGTCACTCTATCACTCTGTACCGTAATAACCACAGCCAATATAATCATTGCCCCCACCCCCAGGCGTCCTGCCGCCTGCCAGACTTGGGCCTTGGGACCCACCCACAGTCCTCCAAGCGAGACCGGGAGAGAAGCTGGTGTTCTAGGGTCATGTCATCACTCCAGGAGTCCCACAGGAATCGGCATGTCTGAAGAGGGGCCCAGCTGGTCCGCAGCTGAGCCCTCCCAGTGCCGACCAAGGGGCTGGCCTCACCAACAGCACCTACCCTCTCTATCAGGAAGGCCATGCTGCAGGAAGGCCATGCTGCCACCAGAGGTCGCGACACGACCACATGGGCATCCAGAGCCACCAAGTCCCCCCCTAACTCGTGGGTGGCAGGAGTGCTATAGGCAGGCCCGCAGACCCTCCTTTTTCTGAATTGCATCAAGTCCCATTAGGGCAGGATGGGAGGCAGGGGGGTCCAGGATCAGGATCAGCATTTTTTTTTTTTCTGGAAAGAGATGTGCTTTGCAGGGGATCAGGGTAAGTAAGTACTGTTCCACTGTTCCCGTGAAACGCACGTGTGTGGGCTGTCACTGCGTAAAACGTGTTTCCGACTGTGGTTCAAGATAGAAAACATCTGGAATACACTGCTCTCAGATAATGCATTGACACAGAAGTGGGTCTCCTAGGACGGGCAGGCCGGAGGGAAGGGGAAAGCAGACCAACTGGCTGAGGCAAAGTACCGACAGCTAACTACTGCACACGGACTACAGCACCCACCGAGCCCAGAGCCCTTAGGAGAGTGTCCTTCTCCTTCCTCTCCCGAGGCTGCGAGAGATCCAGGCACTCAATCGACACCCACAGTTCCACGGAAGGAAGGGGTAGGTGCAAACCCAGGTCATGGGCCACCCCAAATCTAGCACTCTTGCCACTCATGGGTGGGTCTCATTCCACAGCTCTGGTCCAGAACAAAAGCAACACTATCTAAGCAGAGATCAGAGTTGCCCATTCACACAACACTTATGGGCCCTAGGAAAGGAGCATGTGGGCATAGGCCGGAAAGAGAGATCTAGAAAATGTTCTTGCCTTGTCCTGCTCTTCACCCAGACCTGGCACCAGCAGGTCTGGGCTCTGCCTTCTTGCTGCCCAGCCCTGGGCAGAGAACAAGGCCACCAGGGAGGAGGTGGGTGACAGGAACTGCCTAGGAAGTGGCTGCACCCTTCTAACAGGCCTCCCTCCCAGCACCCACCCCAGGCCAGACGTGGATCCAAGCAGCAGCCACCGCTGCCCTGGTCCTCTGGTCAGACGTGTGGGGAAGGAGGCCAGCTCTGCAGTCCCCACTTCCCATCAACATGGGCGACAGTGGGCACAGGGCTACTTCAGCCACCAGGTTCCCTGGCCCTAGTGAAAAACAGAGCCATGTACAACGTGTACCAAAGAAAAGAGGCTGCGACCATCCTACACATATAGCTGCACCTAACAACGTGGCTGCGCACAGAGCTTAGGAAGCCGTGCTTCCCTCTCGCTGGGTGGCGGAGGCAGGACCTCCACGCAGCTGGTATGTGAAAAGCAAGACTAACAAGCAAATACAGCCTCCTCCAACATCTTCACTGAGAAGAAAAGAAATGTTGGAAATAGAAATCATCACAGAGGGACCGAGGGCCAGAGGGGTTTCTGCAAACTCTATGCGGGCAGGGGGCGGGCAGCCCGGGTGGCTCAGGGGTTTAGCGCCGCCTTCAGCCCAGGGCGTGATCCTGGACACCCGCAATCCAGTCCCGCGTCGGGCTCCCTGCATGGAGCCTGCTCCTCTCTGCCTGTGTCTCTGCCGCTATCTCTCTGTGTGTCTCTCATGAATAAATAAATCAATCTTAAAAAAAAAAAAAAAAGGAAGGGGGCCTAAGCAGGGACATAGATTATCAATAGACTCCTGGCAACCTGCCAAACCACGGTGATATCCAGACCTCAGGAACGCCCAGGAAGCAGGGCGCCAACCACCACCTCATAAGATTCAAATGTCAGAGGGTCTGACCAGACGTCTGGTGCTACAACAGCCCTAGGTTCATTGATTCGTTCCAGAATTGCTTGTTAAAGGACACCTGGGAGGCTCAGTTAGTTCAGCATCCGACTCTTGATTTTGGCTCAGGTCATGAACTCAGGATTGTGAGATCGAGTCCCGAGTCGGACTCTGTGCTCAGCAAGGAGTCTGCTTGAGATTCTCTCTTCCTCTTCCCCTGCCCCTTTCTCTGCTCACTCATTCACACACCCGTGCCCCCCTCTCAAATAAATAAGTAAAATCTTTTCAAGAAACAAAGAATTGTTCGTTAAGGGCTACTTTGTGTCAGGCGCTGTGTTCCTCACCCCTGATTAATTGTCTTGTCCTGACACCTCATTTTACAGCAAAGGAACCAAAACCCCTCACTCAAGCACAAGCAGGTAGCAAACGACAGAGCTCAGACTGTATCAGAGGACTCCTGACTCCTGCTTCCAACACCCTGCCACCCTATCGTCCCACCTGGTTGCTATCAGTACTTCTCCAAAGCTCTGGTGCTGGTGGATTCCATGTGACAAAACAAGGGGCAAAATAAACCTCACTCAGATTCTTTCTTCTGAATCTCTGCAATCCCAGGAAAATGTCTACTGGGACAAAAGGTCATTCTCTCCAAGTCACAATGAGTTGCCAAATCAGAAAACCCACAGAAGATTATAGGGTATTTCCAGAACTAGAGAAATCTGAGCTGGAGAGCTCAGCTCACTCACCTGAGGAAGCCAGCCTTACCTGAGCTCTGGTCAGGGTGTTGGGGACTCTCCTCCAAAGTCTCAATCTCAGTGCATTCCCAGCCAACCCGTACCTGGGGCCTCTTCCTGAAAGGATCTTGTAGGGGCTGGAGAAATGTCCGCTGCTCAGAATTTCCTTCTGAGTCCTCTTCCAAACTGAATGGGGGCGTACTGTCACAGAGGGGAAGAAATGAAGGCTATATGGACCAGAAAAACTTTAAAAGCCATACCTTGCCACTTGCAAGTGGGTTTGGTTTGCCCCTTCAGCCAGCCCTGCTCCTTCTTTGGGCACAGGTGACAGCCAAGAGTCACCCTGGAGTACAGCAGCCACACCAGCAATGCTGTTAGAAGATGAGGACCGAACCCCTCCCGACCAGTAACTAAGGCTCAAGGAAGAGATGGGGAAGGAAAGGGTAGGTTTGTCCTGGCTGAGAGCCAAGGACTCGGTCTCTTCATGAGAGCTTGGGATGGACCCCACCTGAGGCCCCTCATGTTCACTTCCATCTCGGTCCCTCACCTGTCTCTGGAGCAGGGCTGCCTGAGGCTGCGAGTGCAGAGTGTGGGACTCACCTTAGCCCAGGCCTCAGGGACGCAGGGGAGCCGAAGGGTCCGTGTGCGCTCTGATGTAGAATAGGGGCAGGTACCTGAGCCAGGCCAGGGCCATGGCCTTCGAGGCTCTGACGAGTTTCCATGGGTACCTCTGCCCGCATGGATGGCAATGACACAGGAAGGGTCTTGGGCTTTGGCTGGGCCTCTTTGATGGCCTTTCGGCCCCGCTGCCTTTCTACTAGAAACACAGAATGAAATGAGTTCCAGGGCATGACCATGTGGGCCCTCGAGCCTGAAGGGGGGTTCCAGAATGCTAGAAATGGACTAGTCACTCTATCACTCTGTACCGTAATAACCACAGCCAATATAATCATTGCCCCCACCCCCAGGCGTCCTGCCGCCTGCCAGACTTGGGCCTTGGGACCCACCCACAGTCCTCCAAGCGAGACCGGGAGAGAAGCTGGTGTTCTAGGGTCATGTCATCACTCCAGGAGTCCCACAGGAATCGGCATGTCTGAAGAGGGGCCCAGCTGGTCCGCAGCTGAGCCCTCCCAGTGCCGACCAAGGGGCTGGCCTCACCAACAGCACCTACCCTCTCTATCAGGAAGGCCATGCTGCAGGAAGGCCATGCTGCCACCAGAGGTCGCGACACGACCACATGGGCATCCAGAGCCACCAAGTCCCCCCCAAACTTGTGGGTGGCAGGAGTGCTAAAGGCAGGCCCGCAGACCCTCCTTTTTCTGAATTGCATCAAGTCCCATTAGGGCAGGATGGGAGGCAGGGGGGTCCAGGATCAGGATCAGCATTTTTTTTTTTTTCTGGAAAGAGATGTGCTTTGCAGGGGATCAGGGTAAGTAAGTACTGTTCCACTGTTCCCGTGAAACGCACGTGTGTGGGCTGTCACTGCGTAAAACGTGTTTCCGACTGTGGTTCAAGATAGAAAACATCTGGAATACACTGCTCTCAGATAATGCATTGACACAGAAGTGGGTCTCCTAGGACGGGCAGGCCGGAGGGAAGGGGAAAGCAGACCAACTGGCTGAGGCAAAGTACCGACAGCTAACTACTGCACACGGACTACAGCACCCACCGAGCCCAGAGCCCTTAGGAGAGTGTCCTTCTCCTTCCTCTCCCGAGGCTGCGAGAGATCCAGGCACTCAATCGACACCCACAGTTCCACGGAAGGAAGGGGTAGGTGCAAACCCAGGTCATGGGCCACCCCAAATCTAGCACTCTTGCCACTCATGGGTGGGTCTCATTCCACAGCTCTGGTCCAGAACAAAAGCAACACTATCTAAGCAGAGATCAGAGTTGCCCATTCACACAACACTTATGGGCCCTAGGAAAGGAGCATGTGGGCATAGGCCGGAAAGAGAGATCTAGAAAATGTTCTTGCCTTGTCCTGCTCTTCACCCAGACCTGGCACCAGCAGGTCTGGGCTCTGCCTTCTTGCTGCCCAGCCCTGGGCAGAGAACAAGGCCACCAGGGAGGAGGTGGGTGACAGGAACTGCCTAGGAAGTGGCTGCACCCTTCTAACAGGCCTCCCCTCCCAGCACCCGCCCCAGGCCAGACGTGGATCCAAGCAGCAGCCACCGCTGCCCTGGTCCTCTGGTCAGACGTGTGGGGAAGGAGGCCAGCTCTGCAGTCCCCACTTCCCATCAACATGGGCGACAGTGGGCACAGGGCTACTTCAGCCACCAGGTTCCCTGGCCCTAGTGAAAAACAGAGCCATGTACAACGTGTACCAAAGAAAAGAGGCTGCGACCATCCTACACATATAGCTGCACCTAACAACGTGGCTGCGCACAGAGCTTAGGAAGCCGTGCTTCCCTCTCGCTGGGTGGCGGAGGCAGGACCTCCACGCAGCTGGTATGTGAAAAGCAAGACTAACAAGCAAATACAGCCTCCTCCAACATCTTCACTGAGAAGAAAAGAAATGTTGGAAATAGAAATCATCACAGAGGGACCGAGGGCCAGAGGGGTTTCTGCAAACTCTATGCGGGCAGGGGGCGGGCAGCCCGGGTGGCTCAGGGGTTTAGCGCCGCCTTCAGCCCAGGGCGTGATCCTGGACACCCGCAATCCAGTCCCGCGTCGGGCTCCCTGCATGGAGCCTGCTCCTCTCTGCCTGTGTCTCTGCCGCTATCTCTCTGTGTGTCTCTCATGAATAAATAAATCAATCTTAAAAAAAAAAAAAAAAGGAAGGGGGCCTAAGCAGGGACATAGATTATCAATAGACTCCTGGCAACCTGCCAAACCACGGTGATATCCAGACCTCAGGAACGCCCAGGAAGCAGGGCGCCAACCACCACCTCATAAGATTCAAATGTCAGAGGGTCTGACCAGACGTCTGGTGCTACAACAGCCCTAGGTTCATTGATTCGTTCCAGAATTGCTTGTTAAAGGACACCTGGGAGGCTCAGTTAGTTCAGCATCCGACTCTTGATTTTGGCTCAGGTCATGAACTCAGGATTGTGAGATCGAGTCCCGAGTCGGACTCTGTGCTCAGCAAGGAGTCTGCTTGAGATTCTCTCTTCCTCTTCCCCTGCCCCTTTCTCTGCTCACTCATTCACACACCCGTGCCCCCCTCTCAAATAAATAAGTAAAATCTTTTCAAGAAACAAAGAATTGTTCGTTAAGGGCTACTTTGTGTCAGGCGCTGTGTTCCTCACCCCTGATTAATTGTCTTGTCCTGACACCTCATTTTACAGCAAAGGAACCAAAACCCCTCACTCAAGCACAAGCAGGTAGCAAACGACAGAGCTCAGACTGTATCAGAGGACTCCTGACTCCTGCTTCCAACACCCTGCCACCCTATCGTCCCACCTGGTTGCTATCAGTACTTCTCCAAAGCTCTGGTGCTGGTGGATTCCATGTGACAAAACAAGGGGCAAAATAAACCTCACTCAGATTCTTTCTTCTGAATCTCTGCAATCCCAGGAAAATGTCTACTGGGACAAAAGGTCATTCTCTCCAAGTCACAATGAGTTGCCAAATCAGAAAACCCACAGAAGATTATAGGGTATTTCCAGAACTAGAGAAATCTGAGCTGGAGAGCTCAGCTCACTCACCTGAGGAAGCCAGCCTTACCTGAGCTCTGGTCAGGGTGTTGGGGACTCTCCTCCAAAGTCTCAATCTCAGTGCATTCCCAGCCAACCCGTACCTGGGGCCTCTTCCTGAAAGGATCTTGTAGGGGCTGGAGAAATGTCCGCTGCTCAGAATTTCCTTCTGAGTCCTCTTCCAAACTGAATGGGGGCGTACTGTCACAGAGGGGAAGAAATGAAGGCTATATGGACCAGAAAAACTTTAAAAGCCATACCTTGCCACTTGCAAGTGGGTTTGGTTTGCCCCTTCAGCCAGCCCTGCTCCTTCTTTGGGCACAGGTGACAGCCAAGAGTCACCCTGGAGTACAGCAGCCACACCAGCAATGCTGTTAGAAGATGAGGACCGAACCCCTCCCGACCAGTAACTAAGGCTCAAGGAAGAGATGGGGAAGGAAAGGGTAGGTTTGTCCTGGCTGAGAGCCAAGGACTCGGTCTCTTCATGAGAGCTTGGGATGGACCCCACCTGAGGCCCCTCATGTTCACTTCCATCTCGGTCCCTCACCTGTCTCTGGAGCAGGGCTGCCTGAGGCTGCGAGTGCAGAGTGTGGGACTCACCTTAGCCCAGGCCTCAGGGACGCAGGGGAGCCGAAGGGTCCGTGTGCGCTCTGATGTAGAATAGGGGCAGGTACCTGAGCCAGGCCAGGGCCATGGCCTTCGAGGCTCTGACGAGTTTCCATGGGTACCTCTGCCCGCATGGATGGCAATGACACAGGAAGGGTCTTGGGCTTTGGCTGGGCCTCTTTGATGGCCTTTGGGCCCCGCTGCCTTTCTACTAGAAACACAGAATGAAATGAGTTCCAGGGCATGACCATGTGGGCCCTCGAGCCTGAAGGGGGGTTCCAGAATGCTAGAAATGGACTAGTCACTCTATCACTCTGTACCGTAATAACCACAGCCAATATAATCATTGCCCCCACCCCCAGGCGTCCTGCCGCCTGCCAGACTTGGGCCTTGGGACCCACCCACAGTCCTCCAAGCGAGACCGGGAGAGAAGCTGGTGTTCTAGGGTCATGTCATCACTCCAGGAGTCCCACAGGAATCGGCATGTCTGAAGAGGGGCCCAGCTGGTCCGCAGCTGAGCCCTCCCAGTGCCGACCAAGGGGCTGGCCTCACCAACAGCACCTACCCTCTCTATCAGGAAGGCCATGCTGCAGGAAGGCCATGCTGCCACCAGAGGTCGCGACACGACCACATGGGCATCCAGAGCCACCAAGTCCCCCCCTAACTCGTGGGTGGCAGGAGTGCTATAGGCAGGCCCGCAGACCCTCCTTTTTCTGAATTGCATCAAGTCCCATTAGGGCAGGATGGGAGGCAGGGGGGTCCAGGATCAGGATCAGCATTTTTTTTTTTTCTGGAAAGAGATGTGCTTTGCAGGGGATCAGGGTAAGTAAGTACTGTTCCACTGTTCCCGTGAAACGCACGTGTGTGGGCTGTCACTGCGTAAAACGTGTTTCCGACTGTGGTTCAAGATAGAAAACATCTGGAATACACTGCTCTCAGATAATGCATTGACACAGAAGTGGGTCTCCTAGGACGGGCAGGCCGGAGGGAAGGGGAAAGCAGACCAACTGGCTGAGGCAAAGTACCGACAGCTAACTACTGCACACGGACTACAGCACCCACCGAGCCCAGAGCCCTTAGGAGAGTGTCCTTCTCCTTCCTCTCCCGAGGCTGCGAGAGATCCAGGCACTCAATCGACACCCACAGTTCCACGGAAGGAAGGGGTAGGTGCAAACCCAGGTCATGGGCCACCCCAAATCTAGCACTCTTGCCACTCATGGGTGGGTCTCATTCCACAGCTCTGGTCCAGAACAAAAGCAACACTATCTAAGCAGAGATCAGAGTTGCCCATTCACACAACACTTATGGGCCCTAGGAAAGGAGCATGTGGGCATAGGCCGGAAAGAGAGATCTAGAAAATGTTCTTGCCTTGTCCTGCTCTTCACCCAGACCTGGCACCAGCAGGTCTGGGCTCTGCCTTCTTGCTGCCCAGCCCTGGGCAGAGAACAAGGCCACCAGGGAGGAGGTGGGTGACAGGAACTGCCTAGGAAGTGGCTGCACCCTTCTAACAGGCCTCCCCTCCCAGCACCCACCCCAGGCCAGACGTGGATCCAAGCAGCAGCCACCGCTGCCCTGGTCCTCTGGTCAGACGTGTGGGGAAGGAGGCCAGCTCTGCAGTCCCCACTTCCCATCAACATGGGCGACAGTGGGCACAGGGCTACTTCAGCCACCAGGTTCCCTGGCCCTAGTGAAAAACAGAGCCATGTACAACGTGTACCAAAGAAAAGAGGCTGCGACCATCCTACACATATAGCTGCACCTAACAACGTGGCTGCGCACAGAGCTTAGGAAGCCGTGCTTCCCTCTCGCTGGGTGGCGGAGGCAGGACCTCCACGCAGCTGGTATGTGAAAAGCAAGACTAACAAGCAAATACAGCCTCCTCCAACATCTTCACTGAGAAGAAAAGAAATGTTGGAAATAGAAATCATCACAGAGGGACCGAGGGCCAGAGGGGTTTCTGCAAACTCTATGCGGGCAGGGGGCGGGCAGCCCGGGTGGCTCAGGGGTTTAGCGCCGCCTTCAGCCCAGGGCGTGATCCTGGACACCCGCAATCCAGTCCCGCGTCGGGCTCCCTGCATGGAGCCTGCTCCTCTCTGCCTGTGTCTCTGCCGCTATCTCTCTGTGTGTCTCTCATGAATAAATAAACCAATCTTAAAAAAAAAAAAAAAAGGAAGGGGGCCTAAGCAGGGACATAGATTATCAATAGACTCCTGGCAACCTGCCAAACCACGGTGATATCCAGACCTCAGGAACGCCCAGGAAGCAGGGCGCCAACCACCACCTCATAAGATTCAAATGTCAGAGGGTCTGACCAGACGTCTGGTGCTACAACAGCCCTAGGTTCATTGATTCGTTCCAGAATTGCTTGTTAAAGGACACCTGGGAGGCTCAGTTAGTTCAGCATCCGACTCTTGATTTTGGCTCAGGTCATGAACTCAGGATTGTGAGATCGAGTCCCGAGTCGGACTCTGTGCTCAGCAAGGAGTCTGCTTGAGATTCTCTCTTCCTCTTCCCCTGCCCCTTTCTCTGCTCACTCATTCACACACCCGTGCCCCCCTCTCAAATAAATAAGTAAAATCTTTTCAAGAAACAAAGAATTGTTCGTTAAGGGCTACTTTGTGTCAGGCGCTGTGTTCCTCACCCCTGATTAATTGTCTTGTCCTGACACCTCATTTTACAGCAAAGGAACCAAAACCCCTCACTCAAGCACAAGCAGGTAGCAAACGACAGAGCTCAGACTGTATCAGAGGACTCCTGACTCCTGCTTCCAACACCCTGCCACCCTATCGTCCCACCTGGTTGCTATCAGTACTTCTCCAAAGCTCTGGTGCTGGTGGATTCCATGTGACAAAACAAGGGGCAAAATAAACCTCACTCAGATTCTTTCTTCTGAATCTCTGCAATCCCAGGAAAATGTCTACTGGGACAAAAGGTCATTCTCTCCAAGTCACAATGAGTTGCCAAATCAGAAAACCCACAGAAGATTATAGGGTATTTCCAGAACTAGAGAAATCTGAGCTGGAGAGCTCAGCTCACTCACCTGAGGAAGCCAGCCTTACCTGAGCTCTGGTCAGGGTGTTGGGGACTCTCCTCCAAAGTCTCAATCTCAGTGCATTCCCAGCCAACCCGTACCTGGGGCCTCTTCCTGAAAGGATCTTGTAGGGGCTGGACAAATGTCCGCTGCTCAGAATTTCCTTCTGAGTCCTCTTCCAAACTGAATGGGGGCGTACTGTCACAGAGGGGAAGAAATGAAGGCTATATGGACCAGAAAAACTTTAAAAGCCATACCTTGCCACTTGCAAGTGGGTTTGGTTTGCCCCTTCAGCCAGCCCTGCTCCTTCTTTGGGCACAGGTGACAGCCAAGAGTCACCCTGGAGTACAGCAGCCACACCAGCAATGCTGTTAGAAGATGAGGACCGAACCCCTCCCGACCAGTAACTAAGGCTCAAGGAAGAGATGGGGAAGGAAAGGGTAGGTTTGTCCTGGCTGAGAGCCAAGGACTCGGTCTCTTCATGAGAGCTTGGGATGGACCCCACCTGAGGCCCCTCATGTTCACTTCCATCTCGGTCCCTCACCTGTCTCTGGAGCAGGGCTGCCTGAGGCTGCGAGTGCAGAGTGTGGGACTCACCTTAGCCCAGGCCTCAGGGACGCAGGGGAGCCGAAGGGTCCGTGTGCGCTCTGATGTAGAATAGGGGCAGGTACCTGAGCCAGGCCAGGGCCATGGCCTTCGAGGCTCTGACGAGTTTCCATGGGTACCTCTGCCCGCATGGATGGCAATGACACAGGAAGGGTCTTGGGCTTTGGCTGGGCCTCTTTGATGGCCTTTCGGCCCCGCTGCCTTTCTACTAGAAACACAGAATGAAATGAGTTCCAGGGCATGACCATGTGGGCCCTCGAGCCTGAAGGGGGGTTCCAGAATGCTAGAAATGGACTAGTCACTCTATCACTCTGTACCGTAATAACCACAGCCAATATAATCATTGCCCCCACCCCCAGGCGTCCTGCCGCCTGCCAGACTTGGGCCTTGGGACCCACCCACAGTCCTCCAAGCGAGACCGGGAGAGAAGCTGGTGTTCTAGGGTCATGTCATCACTCCAGGAGTCCCACAGGAATCGGCATGTCTGAAGAGGGGCCCAGCTGGTCCGCAGCTGAGCCCTCCCAGTGCCGACCAAGGGGCTGGCCTCACCAACAGCACCTACCCTCTCTATCAGGAAGGCCATGCTGCAGGAAGGCCATGCTGCCACCAGAGGTCGCGACACGACCACATGGGCATCCAGAGCCACCAAGTCCCCCCCAAACTTGTGGGTGGCAGGAGTGCTATAGGCAGGCCCGCAGACCCTCCTTTTTCTGAATTGCATCAAGTCCCATTAGGGCAGGATGGGAGGCAGGGGGGTCCAGGATCAGGATCAGCATTTTTTTTTTTTCTGGAAAGAGATGTGCTTTGCAGGGGATCAGGGTAAGTAAGTACTGTTCCACTGTTCCCGTGAAACGCACGTGTGTGGGCTGTCACTGCGTAAAACGTGTTTCCGACTGTGGTTCAAGATAGAAAACATTGGAATACACTGCTCTCAGATAATGCATTGACACAGAAGTGGGTCTCCTAGGACGGGCAGGCCGGAGGGAAGGGGAAAGCAGACCAACTGGCTGAGGCAAAGTACCGACAGCTAACTACTGCACACGGACTACAGCACCCACCGAGCCCAGAGCCCTTAGGAGAGTGTCCTTCTCCTTCCTCTCCCGAGGCTGCGAGAGATCCAGGCACTCAATCGACACCCACAGTTCCACGGAAGGAAGGGGTAGGTGCAAACCCAGGTCATGGGCCACCCCAAATCTAGCACTCTTGCCACTCATGGGTGGGTCTCATTCCACAGCTCTGGTCCAGAACAAAAGCAACACTATCTAAGCAGAGATCAGAGTTGCCCATTCACACAACACTTATGGGCCCTAGGAAAGGAGCATGTGGGCATAGGCCGGAAAGAGAGATCTAGAAAATGTTCTTGCCTTGTCCTGCTCTTCACCCAGACCTGGCACCAGCAGGTCTGGGCTCTGCCTTCTTGCTGCCCAGCCCTGGGCAGAGAACAAGGCCACCAGGGAGGAGGTGGGTGACAGGAACTGCCTAGGAAGTGGCTGCACCCTTCTAACAGGCCTCCCCTCCCAGCACCCACCCCAGGCCAGACGTGGATCCAAGCAGCAGCCACCGCTGCCCTGGTCCTCTGGTCAGACGTGTGGGGAAGGAGGCCAGCTCTGCAGTCCCCACTTCCCATCAACATGGGCGACAGTGGGCACAGGGCTACTTCAGCCACCAGGTTCCCTGGCCCTAGTGAAAAACAGAGCCATGTACAACGTGTACCAAAGAAAAGAGGCTGCGACCATCCTACACATATAGCTGCACCTAACAACGTGGCTGCGCACAGAGCTTAGGAAGCCGTGCTTCCCTCTCGCTGGGTGGCGGAGGCAGGACCTCCACGCAGCTGGTATGTGAAAAGCAAGACTAACAAGCAAATACAGCCTCCTCCAACATCTTCACTGAGAAGAAAAGAAATGTTGGAAATAGAAATCATCACAGAGGGACCGAGGGCCAGAGGGGTTTCTGCAAACTCTATGCGGGCAGGGGGCGGGCAGCCCGGGTGGCTCAGGGGTTTAGCGCCGCCTTCAGCCCAGGGCGTGATCCTGGACACCCGCAATCCAGTCCCGCGTCGGGCTCCCTGCATGGAGCCTGCTCCTCTCTGCCTGTGTCTCTGCCGCTATCTCTCTGTGTGTCTCTCATGAATAAATAAACCAATCTTAAAAAAAAAAAAAAAAGGAAGGGGGCCTAAGCAGGGACATAGATTATCAATAGACTCCTGGCAACCTGCCAAACCACGGTGATATCCAGACCTCAGGAACGCCCAGGAAGCAGGGCGCCAACCACCACCTCATAAGATTCAAATGTCAGAGGGTCTGACCAGACGTCTGGTGCTACAACAGCCCTAGGTTCATTGATTCGTTCCAGAATTGCTTGTTAAAGGACACCTGGGAGGCTCAGTTAGTTCAGCATCCGACTCTTGATTTTGGCTCAGGTCATGAACTCAGGATTGTGAGATCGAGTCCCGAGTCGGACTCTGTGCTCAGCAAGGAGTCTGCTTGAGATTCTCTCTTCCTCTTCCCCTGCCCCTTTCTCTGCTCACTCATTCACACACCCGTGCCCCCCTCTCAAATAAATAAGTAAAATCTTTTCAAGAAACAAAGAATTGTTCGTTAAGGGCTACTTTGTGTCAGGCGCTGTGTTCCTCACCCCTGATTAATTGTCTTGTCCTGACACCTCATTTTACAGCAAAGGAACCAAAACCCCTCACTCAAGCACAAGCAGGTAGCAAACGACAGAGCTCAGACTGTATCAGAGGACTCCTGACTCCTGCTTCCAACACCCTGCCACCCTATCGTCCCACCTGGTTGCTATCAGTACTTCTCCAAAGCTCTGGTGCTGGTGGATTCCATGTGACAAAACAAGGGGCAAAATAAACCTCACTCAGATTCTTTCTTCTGAATCTCTGCAATCCCAGGAAAATGTCTACTGGGACAAAAGGTCATTCTCTCCAAGTCACAATGAGTTGCCAAATCAGAAAACCCAAAGAAGATTATAGGGTATTTCCAGAACTAGAGAAATCTGAGCTGGAGAGCTCAGCTCACTCACCTGAGGAAGCCAGCCTTACCTGAGCTCTGGTCAGGGTGTTGGGGACTCTCCTCCAAAGTCTCAATCTCAGTGCATTCCCAGCCAACCCGTACCTGGGGCCTCTTCCTGAAAGGATCTTGTAGGGGCTGGACAAATGTCCGCTGCTCAGAATTTCCTTCTGAGTCCTCTTCCAAACTGAATGGGGGCGTACTGTCACAGAGGGGAAGAAATGAAGGCTATATGGACCAGAAAAACTTTAAAAGCCATACCTTGCCACTTGCAAGTGGGTTTGGTTTGCCCCTTCAGCCAGCCCTGCTCCTTCTTTGGGCACAGGTGACAGCCAAGAGTCACCCTGGAGTACAGCAGCCACACCAGCAATGCTGTTAGAAGATGAGGACCGAACCCCTCCCGACCAGTAACTAAGGCTCAAGGAAGAGATGGGGAAGGAAAGGGTAGGTTTGTCCTGGCTGAGAGCCAAGGACTCAGTCTCTTCATGAGAGCTTGGGATGGACCCCACCTGAGGCCCCTCATGTTCACTTCCATCTCGGTCCCTCACCTGTCTCTGGAGCAGGGCTGCCTGAGGCTGCGAGTGCAGAGTGTGGGACTCACCTTAGCCCAGGCCTCAGGGACGCAGGGGAGCCGAAGGGTCCGTGTGCGCTCTGATGTAGAATAGGGGCAGGTACCTGAGCCAGGCCAGGGCCATGGCCTTCGAGGCTCTGACGAGTTTCCATGGGTACCTCTGCCCGCATGGATGGCAATGACACAGGAAGGGTCTTGGGCTTTGGCTGGGCCTCTTTGATGGCCTTTCGGCCCCGCTGCCTTTCTACTAGAAACACAGAATGAAATGAGTTCCAGGGCATGACCATGTGGGCCCTCGAGCCTGAAGGGGGGTTCCAGAATGCTAGAAATGGACTAGTCACTCTATCACTCTGTACCGTAATAACCACAGCCAATATAATCATTGCCCCCACCCCCAGGCGTCCTGCCGCCTGCCAGACTTGGGCCTTGGGACCCACCCACAGTCCTCCAAGCGAGACCGGGAGAGAAGCTGGTGTTCTAGGGTCATGTCATCACTCCAGGAGTCCCACAGGAATCGGCATGTCTGAAGAGGGGCCCAGCTGGTCCGCAGCTGAGCCCTCCCAGTGCCGACCAAGGGGCTGGCCTCACCAACAGCACCTACCCTCTCTATCAGGAAGGCCATGCTGCAGGAAGGCCATGCTGCCACCAGAGGTCGCGACACGACCACATGGGCATCCAGAGCCACCAAGTCCCCCCCAAACTCGTGGGTGGCAGGAGTGCTATAGGCAGGCCCGCAGACCCTCCTTTTTCTGAATTGCATCAAGTCCCATTAGGGCAGGATGGGAGGCAGGGGGGTCCAGGATCAGGATCAGCATTTTTTTTTTTTCTGGAAAGAGATGTGCTTTGCAGGGGATCAGGGTAAGTAAGTACTGTTCCACTGTTCCCGTGAAACGCACGTGTGTGGGCTGTCACTGCGTAAAACGTGTTTCCGACTGTGGTTCAAGATAGAAAACATTGGAATACACTGCTCTCAGATAATGCATTGACACAGAAGTGGGTCTCCTAGGACGGGCAGGCCGGAGGGAAGGGGAAAGCAGACCAACTGGCTGAGGCAAAGTACCGACAGCTAACTACTGCACACGGACTACAGCACCCACCGAGCCCAGAGCCCTTAGGAGAGTGTCCTTCTCCTTCCTCTCCCGAGGCTGCGAGAGATCCAGGCACTCAATCGACACCCACAGTTCCACGGAAGGAAGGGGTAGGTGCAAACCCAGGTCATGGGCCACCCCAAATCTAGCACTCTTGCCACTCATGGGTGGGTCTCATTCCACAGCTCTGGTCCAGAACAAAAGCAACACTATCTAAGCAGAGATCAGAGTTGCCCATTCACACAACACTTATGGGCCCTAGGAAAGGAGCATGTGGGCATAGGCCGGAAAGAGAGATCTAGAAAATGTTCTTGCCTTGTCCTGCTCTTCACCCAGACCTGGCACCAGCAGGTCTGGGCTCTGCCTTCTTGCTGCCCAGCCCTGGGCAGAGAACAAGGCCACCAGGGAGGAGGTGGGTGACAGGAACTGCCTAGGAAGTGGCTGCACCCTTCTAACAGGCCTCCCCTCCCAGCACCCGCCCCAGGCCAGACGTGGATCCAAGCAGCAGCCACCGCTGCCCTGGTCCTCTGGTCAGACGTGTGGGGAAGGAGGCCAGCTCTGCAGTCCCCACTTCCCATCAACATGGGCGACAGTGGGCACAGGGCTACTTCAGCCACCAGGTTCCCTGGCCCTAGTGAAAAACAGAGCCATGTACAACGTGTACCAAAGAAAAGAGGCTGCGACCATCCTACACATATAGCTGCACCTAACAACGTGGCTGCGCACAGAGCTTAGGAAGCCGTGCTTCCCTCTCGCTGGGTGGCGGAGGCAGGACCTCCACGCAGCTGGTATGTGAAAAGCAAGACTAACAAGCAAATACAGCCTCCTCCAACATCTTCACTGAGAAGAAAAGAAATGTTGGAAATAGAAATCATCACAGAGGGACCGAGGGCCAGAGGGGTTTCTGCAAACTCTATGCGGGCAGGGGGCGGGCAGCCCGGGTGGCTCAGGGGTTTAGCGCCGCCTTCAGCCCAGGGCGTGATCCTGGACACCCGCAATCCAGTCCCGCGTCGGGCTCCCTGCATGGAGCCTGCTCCTCTCTGCCTGTGTCTCTGCCGCTATCTCTCTGTGTGTCTCTCATGAATAAATAAACCAATCTTAAAAAAAAAAAAAAAAGGAAGGGGGCCTAAGCAGGGACATAGATTATCAATAGACTCCTGGCAACCTGCCAAACCACGGTGATATCCAGACCTCAGGAACGCCCAGGAAGCAGGGCGCCAACCACCACCTCATAAGATTCAAATGTCAGAGGGTCTGACCAGACGTCTGGTGCTACAACAGCCCTAGGTTCATTGATTCGTTCCAGAATTGCTTGTTAAAGGACACCTGGGAGGCTCAGTTAGTTCAGCATCCGACTCTTGATTTTGGCTCAGGTCATGAACTCAGGATTGTGAGATCGAGTCCCGAGTCGGACTCTGTGCTCAGCAAGGAGTCTGCTTGAGATTCTCTCTTCCTCTTCCCCTGCCCCTTTCTCTGCTCACTCATTCACACACCCGTGCCCCCCTCTCAAATAAATAAGTAAAATCTTTTCAAGAAGCAAAGAATTGTTCGTTAAGGGCTACTTTGTGTCAGGCGCTGTGTTCCTCACCCCTGATTAATTGTCTTGTCCTGACACCTCATTTTACAGCAAAGGAACCAAAACCCCTCACTCAAGCACAAGCAGGTAGCAAACGACAGAGCTCAGACTGTATCAGAGGACTCCTGACTCCTGCTTCCAACACCCTGCCACCCTATCGTCCCACCTGGTTGCTATCAGTACTTCTCCAAAGCTCTGGTGCTGGTGGATTCCATGTGACAAAACAAGGGGCAAAATAAACCTCACTCAGATTCTTTCTTCTGAATCTCTGCAATCCCAGGAAAATGTCTACTGGGACAAAAGGTCATTCTCTCCAAGTCACAATGAGTTGCCAAATCAGAAAACCCAAAGAAGATTATAGGGTATTTCCAGAACTAGAGAAATCTGAGCTGGAGAGCTCAGCTCACTCACCTGAGGAAGCCAGCCTTACCTGAGCTCTGGTCAGGGGATTGGGGACTCTCCTCCAAAGTCTTAATGTCAGAGCATTCCCAGCCAACCCGTGCCTGGGGCCTCTTCCTGAAAGGATCTTGTAGGGGCTGGAGAAATGTCCGCTGCTCAGAATTTCCTTTTGAGTCCTCTTCCAAACTGAATGGGGGCGTACTGTCACAGAGGGGAAGAAATGAAGGCTATATGGACCAGAAAAACTTTAAAAGCCATACCTTGCCACTTGCAAGTGGGTTTGGTTTGCCCCTTCAGCCAGCCCTGCTCCTTCTTTGGGCACAGGTGACAGCCAAGAGTCACCCTGGAGTACAGCAGCCACACCAGCAATGCTGTTAGAAGATGAGGACCGAACCCCTCCCGACCAGTAACTAAGGCTCAAGGAAGAGATGGGGAAGGAAAGGGTAGGTTTGTCCTGGCTGAGAGCCAAGGACTCAGTCTCTTCATGGGAGCTTGGGATGGACCCCACCTGAGGCCCCTCATGTTCACTTCCGTCTCGGTCCCTCACCTGTCTCTGGAGCAGGGCTGCCTGAGGCTGCGAGTGCAGAGTGTGGGACTCACCTTAGCCCAGGCCTCAGGGACGCAGGGGAGCCGAAGGGTCCGTGTGCGCTCTGATGTAGAATAGGGGCAGGTACCTGAGCCAGGCCAGGGCCATGGCCTTCGAGGCTCTGACGAGTTTCCATGGGTACCTCTGCCCGCATGGATGGCAATGACACAGGAAGGGTCTTGGGCTTTGGCTGGGCCTCTTTGATGGCCTTTCGGCCCCGCTGCCTTTCTACTAGAAACACAGAATGAAATGAGTTCCAGGGCATGACCATGTGGGCCCTCGAGCCTGAAGGGGGGTTCCAGAATGCTAGAAATGGACTAGTCACTCTATCACTCTGTACCGTAATAACCACAGCCAATATAATCATTGCCCCCACCCCCAGGCGTCCTGCCGCCTGCCAGACTTGGGCCTTGGGACCCACCCACAGTCCTCCAAGCGAGACCGGGAGAGAAGCTGGTGTTCTAGGGTCATGTCATCACTCCAGGAGTCCCACAGGAATCGGCATGTCTGAAGAGGGGCCCAGCTGGTCCGCAGCTGAGCCCTCCCAGTGCCGACCAAGGGGCTGGCCTCACCAACAGCACCTACCCTCTCTATCAGGAAGGCCATGCTGCAGGAAGGCCATGCTGCCACCAGAGGTCGCCACACGACCACATGGGCATCCAGAGCCACCAAGTCCCCCCCAAACTTGTGGGTGGCAGGAGTGCTATAGGCAGGCCCGCAGACCCTCCTTTTTCTGAATTGCATCAAGTCCCATTAGGGCAGGATGGGAGGCAGGGGGGTCCAGGATCAGGATCAGCATTTTTTTTTTTTTCTGGAAAGAGATGTGCTTTGCAGGGGATCAGGGTAAGTAAGTACTGTTCCACTGTTCCCGTGAAACGCACGTGTGTGGGCTGTCACTGCGTAAAACGTGTTTCCGACTGTGGTTCAAGATAGAAAACATCTGGAATACACTGCTCTCAGATAATGCATTGACACAGAAGTGGGTCTCCTAGGACGGGCAGGCCGGAGGGAAGGGGAAAGCAGACCAACTGGCTGAGGCAAAGTACCGACAGCTAACTACTGCACACGGACTACAGCACCCACCGAGCCCAGAGCCCTTAGGAGAGTGTCCTTCTCCTTCCTCTCCCGAGGCTGCGAGAGATCCAGGCACTCAATCGACACCCACAGTTCCACGGAAGGAAGGGGTAGGTGCAAACCCAGGTCATGGGCCACCCCAAATCTAGCACTCTTGCCACTCATGGGTGGGTCTCATTCCACAGCTCTGGTCCAGAACAAAAGCAACACTATCTAAGCAGAGATCAGAGTTGCCCATTCACACAACACTTATGGGCCCTAGGAAAGGAGCATGTGGGCATAGGCCGGAAAGAGAGATCTAGAAAATGTTCTTGCCTTGTCCTGCTCTTCACCCAGACCTGGCACCAGCAGGTCTGGGCTCTGCCTTCTTGCTGCCCAGCCCTGGGCAGAGAACAAGGCCACCAGGGAGGAGGTGGGTGACAGGAACTGCCTAGGAAGTGGCTGCACCCTTCTAACAGGCCTCCCCTCCCAGCACCCACCCCAGGCCAGACGTGGATCCAAGCAGCAGCCACCGCTGCCCTGGTCCTCTGGTCAGACGTGTGGGGAAGGAGGCCAGCTCTGCAGTCCCCACTTCCCATCAACATGGGCGACAGTGGGCACAGGGCTACTTCAGCCACCAGGTTCCCTGGCCCTAGTGAAAAACAGAGCCATGTACAACGTGTACCAAAGAAAAGAGGCTGCGACCATCCTACACATATAGCTGCACCTAACAACGTGGCTGCGCACAGAGCTTAGGAAGCCGTGCTTCCCTCTCGCTGGGTGGCGGAGGCAGGACCTCCACGCAGCTGGTATGTGAAAAGCAAGACTAACAAGCAAATACAGCCTCCTCCAACATCTTCACTGAGAAGAAAAGAAATGTTGGAAATAGAAATCATCACAGAGGGACCGAGGGCCAGAGGGGTTTCTGCAAACTCTATGCGGGCAGGGGGCGGGCAGCCCGGGTGGCTCAGGGGTTTAGCGCCGCCTTCAGCCCAGGGCGTGATCCTGGACACCCGCAATCCAGTCCCGCGTCGGGCTCCCTGCATGGAGCCTGCTCCTCTCTGCCTGTGTCTCTGCCTCTCTCTCTCTGTGTGTCTCTCATGAATAAATAAATCAATCTTAAAAAAAAAAAAAAAGGAAGGGGGCCTAAGCAGGGACATAGATTATCAATAGACTCCTGGCAACCTGCCAAACCACGGTGATATCCAGACCTCAGGAACGCCCAGGAAGCAGGGCGCCAACCACCACCTCATAAGATTCAAATGTCAGAGGGTCTGACCAGACGTCTGGTGCTACAACAGCCCTAGGTTCATTGATTCGTTCCAGAATTGCTTGTTAAAGGACACCTGGGAGGCTCAGTTAGTTCAGCATCCGACTCTTGATTTTGGCTCAGGTCATGAACTCAGGATTGTGAGATCGAGTCCCGAGTCGGACTCTGTGCTCAGCAAGGAGTCTGCTTGAGATTCTCTCTTCCTCTTCCCCTGCCCCTTTCTCTGCTCACTCATTCACACACCCGTGCCCCCCTCTCAAATAAATAAGTAAAATCTTTTCAAGAAGCAAAGAATTGTTCGTTAAGGGCTACTTTGTGTCAGGCGCTGTGTTCCTCACCCCTGATTAATTGTCTTGTCCTGACACCTCATTTTACAGCAAAGGAACCAAAACCCCTCACTCAAGCACAAGCAGGTAGCAAACGACAGAGCTCAGACTGTATCAGAGGACTCCTGACTCCTGCTTCCAACACCCTGCCACCCTATCGTCCCACCTGGTTGCTATCAGTACTTCTCCAAAGCTCTGGTGCTGGTGGATTCCATGTGACAAAACAAGGGGCAAAATAAACCTCACTCAGATTCTTTCTTCTGAATCTCTGCAATCCCAGGAAAATGTCTACTGGGACAAAAGGTCATTCTCTCCAAGTCACAATGAGTTGCCAAATCAGAAAACCCAAAGAAGATTATAGGGTATTTCCAGAACTAGAGAAATCTGAGCTGGAGAGCTCAGCTCACTCACCTGAGGAAGCCAGCCTTACCTGAGCTCTGGTCAGGGGATTGGGGACTCTCCTCCAAAGTCTTAATGTCAGAGCATTCCCAGCCAACCCGTGCCTGGGGCCTCTTCCTGAAAGGATCTTGTAGGGGCTGGAGAAATGTCCGCTGCTCAGAATTTCCTTTTGAGTCCTCTTCCAAATTGAATCGGAGCGTACTGTCACAGAGGGGAAGAAATGAAGGCTATATGGACCAGAAAAACTTTAAAAGCCATACCTTGCCACTTGCAAGTGGGTTTGGTTTGCCCCTTCAGCCAGCCCTGCTCCTTCTTTGGGCACAGGTGACAGCCAAGAGTCACCCTGGAGTACAGCAGCCACACCAGCAATGCTGTTAGAAGATGAGGACCGAACCCCTCCCGACCAGTAACTAAGGCTCAAGGAAGAGATGGGGAAGGAAAGGGTAGGTTTGTCCTGGCTGAGAGCCAAGGACTCAGTCTCTTCATGGGAGCTTGGGATGGACCCCACCTGAGGCCCCTCATGTTCACTTCCGTCTCGGTCCCTCACCTCCCTCTGGAGCAGGGCTGCCTGAGGCTGCGAGTGCAGAGTGTGGGACTCACCTTAGCCCAGGCCTCAGGGACGCAGGGGAGCCGAAGGGTCCGTGTGCGCTCTGATGTAGAATAGGGGCAGGTACCTGAGCCAGGCCAGGGCCATGGCCTTCGAGGCTCTGACGAGTTTCCATGGGTACCTCTGCCCGCATGGATGGCAATGACACAGGAAGGGTCTTGGGCTTTGGCTGGGCCTCTTTGATGGCCTTTCGGCCCCGCTGCCTTTTTACTAGAAACACAGAATGAAATGAGTTCCAGGGCATGACCATGTGGGCCCTCGAGCCTGAAGGGGGGTTCCAGAATGCTAGAAATGGACAAGTCACTCTATCACTCTGTACCGTAATAACCACAGCCAATATAATCATTGCCCCCACCCCCAGGCGTCCTGCCGCCTGCCAGACTTGGGCCTTGGGACCCACCCACAGTCCTCCAAGCGAGACCGGGAGAGAAGCTGGTGTTCCAGGGTCATGTCATCACTCCAGGAGTCCCACAGGAATCGGCAGGTCTGAAGAGGGGCCCAGCTGGTCCGCAGCTGAGCCCTCCCAGTGCCGACCAAGGGGCTGGCCTCACCAACAGCACCTACCCTCTCTATCAGGAAGGCCACCTGCAGGAAGGCCATGCTGCCACCCGAGGTCGCCACACGACCACATGGGCATCCAGAGCCACCAAGTCCCCCCCAAACTTGTGGGTGGCAGGAGTGCTAAAGGCAGGCCCGCAGACCCTCCTTTTTCTGAATTGCATCAAGTCCCATTAGGGCAGGATGGGAGGCAGGGGGGTCCAGGATCAGGATCAGCATTTTTTTTTTTTCTGGAAAGAGATGTGCTTTGCAGGGGATCAGGGTAAGTAAGTACTGTTCCACTGTTCCCGTGAAACGCACGTGTGTGGGCTGTCACTGCGTAAAACGTGTTTCCGACTGTGGTTCAAGATAGAAAACATCTGGAATACACTGCTCTCAGATAATGCATTGACACAGAAGTGGGTCTCCTAGGACGGGCAGGCCGGAGGGAAGGGGAAAGCAGACCAACTGGCTGAGGCAAAGTACCGACAGCTAACTACTGCACACGGACTACAGCACCCACCGAGCCCAGAGCCCTTAGGAGAGTGTCCTTCTCCTTCCTCTCCCGAGGCTGCGAGAGATCCAGGCACTCAATCGACACCCACAGTTCCACGGAAGGAAGGGGTAGGTGCAAACCCAGGTCATGGGCCACCCCAAATCTAGCACTCTTGCCACTCATGGGTGGGTCTCATTCCACAGCTCTGGTCCAGAACAAAAGCAACACTATCTAAGCAGAGATCAGAGTTGCCCATTCACACAACACTTATGGGCCCTAGGAAAGGAGCATGTGGGCATAGGCCGGAAAGAGAGATCTAGAAAATGTTCTTGCCTTGTCCTGCTCTTCACCCAGACCTGGCACCAGCAGGTCTGGGCTCTGCCTTCTTGCTGCCCAGCCCTGGGCAGAGAACAAGGCCACCAGGGAGGAGGTGGGTGACAGGAACTGCCTAGGAAGTGGCTGCACCCTTCTAACAGGCCTCCCCTCCCAGCACCCACCCCAGGCCAGACGTGGATCCAAGCAGCAGCCACCGCTGCCCTGGTCCTCTGGTCAGACGTGTGGGGAAGGAGGCCAGCTCTGCAGTCCCCACTTCCCATCAACATGGGCGACAGTGGGCACAGGGCTACTTCAGCCACCAGGTTCCCTGGCCCTAGTGAAAAACAGAGCCATGTACAACGTGTACCAAAGAAAAGAGGCTGCGACCATCCTACACATATAGCTGCACCTAACAACGTGGCTGCGCACAGAGCTTAGGAAGCCGTGCTTCCCTCTCGCTGGGTGGCGGAGGCAGGACCTCCACGCAGCTGGTATGTGAAAAGCAAGACTAACAAGCAAATACAGCCTCCTCCAACATCTTCACTGAGAAGAAAAGAAATGTTGGAAATAGAAATCATCACAGAGGGACCGAGGGCCAGAGGGGTTTCTGCAAACTCTATGCGGGCAGGGGGCGGGCAGCCCGGGTGGCTCAGGGGTTTAGCGCCGCCTTCAACCCAGGGCGTGATCCTGGACACCCGCAATCCAGTCCCGCGTCGGGCTCCCTGCATGGAGCCTGCTCCTCTCTGCCTGTGTCTCTGCCTCTCTCTCTCTCTGTGTCTCTCATGAATAAATAAATCAATCTTAAAAAAAAAAAAAAAAGGAAGGGGGCCTAAGCAGGGACATAGATTATCAATAGACTCCTGGCAACCTGCCAAACCACGGTGATATCCAGACCTCAGGAACGCCCAGGAAGCAGGGCGCCAACCACCACCTCATAAGATTCAAATGTCAGAGGGTCTGACCAGACGTCTGGTGCTACAACAGCCCTAGGTTCATTGATTCGTTCCAGAATTGCTTGTTAAAGGACACCTGGGAGGCTCAGTTAGTTCAGCATCCGACTCTTGATTTTGGCTCAGGTCATGAACTCAGGATTGTGAGATCGAGTCCCGAGTCGGACTCTGTGCTCAGCAAGGAGTCTGCTTGAGATTCTCTCTTCCTCTTCCCCTGCCCCTTTCTCTGCTCACTCATTCACACACCCGTGCCCCCCTCTCAAATAAATAAGTAAAATCTTTTCAAGAAGCAAAGAATTGTTCGTTAAGGGCTACTTTGTGTCAGGCGCTGTGTTCCTCACCCCTGATTAATTGTCTTGTCCTGACACCTCATTTTACAGCAAAGGAACCAAAACCCCTCACTCAAGCACAAGCAGGTAGCAAACGACAGAGCTCAGACTGTATCAGAGGACTCCTGACTCCTGCTTCCAACACCCTGCCACCCTATCGTCCCACCTGGTTGCTATCAGTACTTCTCCAAAGCTCTGGTGCTGGTGGATTCCATGTGACAAAACAAGGGGCAAAATAAACCTCACTCAGATTCTTTCTTCTGAATCTCTGCAATCCCAGGAAAATGTCTACTGGGACAAAAGGTCATTCTCTCCAAGTCACAATGAGTTGCCAAATCAGAAAACCCAAAGAAGATTATAGGGTATTTCCAGAACTAGAGAAATCTGAGCTGGAGAGCTCAGCTCACTCACCTGAGGAAGCCAGCCTTACCTGAGCTCTGGTCAGGGGATTGGGGACTCTCCTCCAAAGTCTTAATGTCAGAGCATTCCCAGCCAACCCGTGCCTGGGGCCTCTTCCTGAAAGGATCTTGTAGGGGCTGGAGAAATGTCCGCTGCTCAGAATTTCCTTTTGAGTCCTCTTCCAAATTGAATCGGAGCGTACTGTCACAGAGGGGAAGAAATGAAGGCTATATGGACCAGAAAAACTTTAAAAGCCATACCTTGCCACTTGCAAGTGGGTTTGGTTTGCCCCTTCAGCCAGCCCTGCTCCTTCTTTGGGCACAGGTGACAGCCAAGAGTCACCCTGGAGTACAGCAGCCACACCAGCAATGCTGTTAGAAGATGAGGACCGAACCCCTCCCGACCAGTAACTAAGGCTCAAGGAAGAGATGGGGAAGGAAAGGGTAGGTTTGTCCTGGCTGAGAGCCAAGGACTCGGTCTCTTCATGGGAGCTTGGGATGGACCCCACCTGAGGCCCCTCATGTTCACTTCCGTCTCGGTCCCTCACCTGTCTCTGGAGCAGGGCTGCCTGAGGCTGCGAGTGCAGAGTGTGGGACTCACCTTAGCCCAGGCCTCAGGGACGCAGGGGAGCCGAAGGGTCCGTGTGCGCTCTGATGTAGAATAGGGGCAGGTACCTGAGCCAGGCCAGGGCCATGGCCTTCGAGGCTCTGACGAGTTTCCATGGGTACCTCTGCCCGCATGGATGGCAATGACACAGGAAGGGTCTTGGGCTTTGGCTGGGCCTCTTTGATGGCCTTTGGGCCCCGCTGCCTTTCTACTAGAAACACAGAATGAAATGAGTTCCAGGGCATGACCATGTGGGCCCTCGAGCCTGAAGGGAGGTTCCAGAATGCTAGAAATGGACTAGTCACTCTATCACTCTGTACCGTAATAACCACAGCCAATATAATCATTGCCCCCACCCCCAGGCGTCCTGCCGCCTGCCAGACTTGGGCCTTGGGACCCACCCACAGTCCTCCAAGAGAGACCGGGAGAGAAGCTGGTGTTCTAGGGTCATGTCATCACTCCAGGAGTCCCACAGGAATCGGCAGGTCTGAAGAGGGGCCCAGCTGGTCCGCAGCTGAGCCCTCCCAGTGCCGACCAAGGGGCTGGCCTCACCAACAGCACCTACCCTCTCTATCAGGAAGGCCATGCTGCAGGAAGGCCATGCTGCCACCAGAGGTCGCGACACGACCACATGGGCATCCAGAGCCACCAAGTCCCCCCCAAACTTGTGGGTGGCAGGAGTGCTATAGGCAGGCCCGCAGACCCTCCTTTTTCTGAATTGCATCAAGTCCCATTAGGGCAGGATGGGAGGCAGGGGGGTCCAGGATCAGGATCAGCATTTTTTTTTTTCTGGAAAGAGATGTGCTTTGCAGGGGATCAGGGTAAGTAAGTACTGTTCCACTGTTCCCGTGAAACGCACGTGTGTGGGCTGTCACTGCGTAAAACGTGTTTCCGACTGTGGTTCAAGATAGAAAACATCTGGAATACACTGCTCTCAGATAATGCATTGACACAGAAGTGGGTCTCCTAGGACGGGCAGGCCGGAGGGAAGGGGAAAGCAGACCAACTGGCTGAGGCAAAGTACCGACAGCTAACTACTGCACACGGACTACAGCACCCACCGAGCCCAGAGCCCTTAGGAGAGTGTCCTTCTCCTTCCTCTCCCGAGGCTGCGAGAGATCCAGGCACTCAATCGACACCCACAGTTCCACGGAAGGAAGGGGTAGGTGCAAACCCAGGTCATGGGCCACCCCAAATCTAGGACTCTTGCCACTCATGGGTGGGTCTCATTCCACAGCTCTGGTCCAGAACAAAAGCAACACTATCTAAGCAGAGATCAGAGTTGCCCATTCACACAACACTTATGGGCCCTAGGAAAGGAGCATGTGGGCATAGGCTGGAAAGCGAAATCTAGAAAATGCTGTTAACACACGGCAGTCATCTCACACCTCCAGGACCCACCCTATAGAAGGTAAGGCCCCAGGACCGGGGACTGGAGACAGCCCAGGGGGTGGCTCTCACTCCAGGCTTTCTTACCACAGGAGCAAGGGCTTGATGGGAGGGGCCCCTGGAGTAACAAGGTACCCTTCCTCTTTGGGAAGGCTGTCCTCGAGGATGCCTTTGTTCGTCCTCCTTGTCTCCCCATCTCCTCTCTCCCCTAAGCCTACACCCCTCCCCACCCTGCCCCTGTGCTTGTCCTCATCACACCTCCTAGTCCCCCCTCTGGTTTCCCAGCTGAGGTGGCAAGGCTTGGCACAGATCAGCCTCAGTAGATTTTAAAATGAGTGGTCCCTGGACCAACTAAAATCATCTCTCATATCCCCAGAGAACATGGTCTACACTCTCGAAAATTCCTTAGCATGGAGAGTTCAGTTGGGTCTCCCTGGATATGAGGAGATCAGAGAATCAGTGTGTCCCTCTGGCCACACAGGAGGGGAAGGAGCTGGAGCATCGTCCTGCATGAAGAACTTCAGACCGCCTGAAGCCCTCCCTAAAGCCCCCAATTTCAGCAGCCTGGTGGATCTGGGAATCCGCTAGAAATGGGGGGAGGACTCTCGTCCTAGGAACACAAGCTCCCTTGCTTTCTCAGTTCCTTGAGGATAGAGACTAGAGGATCCTCAGCCACACCCTGAATCCTCCCCAAGAACCAACTGGGCCTTTCCTTGTCACAATGCCCAGGGACAAAGCAGTGGCTGTGATCTGGCCTAGGAAACCAGGCCCAAGCTCTGAGGATGTTTCGGTGGGCAGAACTCACCCAGGCTCTCACACCCTCCCCTAGGATGCTCCCTAGCACACTTTTCATCTGATCCGCATCTGCCTCTACCTGCAGCCCCAGCTCTCTCAGGCCTTGGGGCTCCTCCCAGCACTGCCAATGCCCCACTTCAGAGCCACAAACTAAGTGGGCTATTCTCTGTTGGAGGGAAATTTAACTTGTGGTCAAAGCAAGTAAAGCAGCACAGAGCTAAGCTGCTGAATGGGGCAGCAAACTCAGGACTGACCACAGGCTCTACCTCTGGCTCTCCTCCACCTTCCCCGGGTGACCCTTTACAGCAATGCCCTGCTGGGGCAGGGAGTCCACCCTTCTTGTGTGCAAACAAGCCTGGGTCCTCCTGGTCACAGCCCCCAAGCAAGCCCTCTCACCAGCTCACCTGGAGCCTTGGTGTCCAGCTGGAATCTCAGGGTCCTGTCTTTTTTCTGTCTCTTCTTCGCTCTGCTCGTGACTTCTTTGTCAAACTTTACCCTCAGACTCAGAAATTCAGAAAATTTCTGTGTCATCTGCACCCGCTGGAATCTCAGGAAGGGCTCGAGGTGCTGGAGAGTTTTAAGGGAGATTCCCTTTTTATTCTAAAAAAGACAGAAGTTCCCTTTTGGAGACAGAAGCCCCTGTTTTCTAAGGGGGAGCCTAAGCCTCTCATATCTGCTGTTGGCCTAGGAGGCACTGTGATCAGCACCAGGTGCTTTCTGGGAGAGGACAGGGTGAGCATCAGAGCAGGGTGGACTGTAGTAAGTGTGGTGCTTTAGGGTCTGGGAGCCTCATCAAAACATGCATGGCAGGATGATGCAAAGGGACTACATGCAACTCCAGTGACATCACGGCTCACAGAGCTTAGATGGGGCTGCCTTTCCACCACCCGACTGCATCTGAGCAAGGAGACCACAGCTTGCTCCTTTTTGTACCTCAGACACTATCGCTGTGCTATGCATGTTATTCTCCGTGGCTGAGAACATTTGAAAAATCAACTGCAAGAAACAAAAGCCGAGTAACTTTCTGAGACCTAGTGGAAGTTGCCTGGGCTTTTGGCATCCACCCAGAGCCCAAGAGGATTCATTCAAGGTTAGAAAGAAATGTTTTAATCCAATCTGATCACAGGGATCACAGGGCCAAAGTTGGATGGAATGGTAGTTGAAAGCAGTCAAATATTGACGTTTCCATTTAATAATATATTTCATCAGTGTGTTTAATGATAAAATGCACGCTCTGGTTCAACCCAAGCATGGGGAAACAATGGCATCCAAATACCAATTTGTACCAGATGTAACTTGCAGTGTCTGCCTCACCCACAGGCACTTGCTGAGTGGCCACGTGTGCCACTGATGACGGACACTCCACCCAGGGGACCCTTCCAGGGGGTAGACTGAACCAATTAAATCCCCTCTGTCAGAAACAGGCACAGAAGAAAGCAGCCAATGAGTGGAGAGCACAGAGAGGTCAGGGCGCAGGGTGACAACCCAAGAAACCACCAGAAACAGAGAAGAGAGGCCACAGCACTGCCATGAGATGAGGAAAAGCTGTGTGGGCTTATATTCCCAGACAAGAAAGGTACCCCAAATGGAACAAATATGATGGCCTACACTGTTAAGAGCAATCAAGCATTTGTCAGGTTAAGAACCCTGTGTATCTAAACGGTAGTTAGCAGCCCTTACAAACAGTGGCCCTGGGGCTTACTTTCGTTATCCCCATGCTTTCCAGCTTCTTTTCCAGGGTTTTCTCCAGCATTGACCTGAACTTCAGCAGGGTGGGGTCTGGCCTCAGAGATGCCAGCACCTTCTGCTGGCCACCTCGGGAGTTCTTCAGATCTACAGCACACAACAATCACCAAGGTCAGCCTGGATGCCCAAAATCTCCATTCCCAAAGCCCCACTGCACCTGCCTGTCCCTCACTAGCCCATGACCCCAGTCTCTGGCCAGCGAGCCCAGGGCCACTGACCCCACCTGAGTGTCCATCTCAGAAGCTGGGGTGTTTCTGCGTCTGGATACCACTACTTCTGACTGCCTACACACCTGCAGGATTCCCAGCCCTTGCCAGTCTGGACCTCCAAGATCTGGGCTCAGTTCTGCCCCGGTTAACTCAGAACTTTTGGGCTTCTGACTTGATCTTGAGTCCTGGCAGCAGCTCATTCTCAAGCTCCATCCCTCCCACTGCCCAGTTTTATTGAGACATAATTGACATACAGCAGTGTGTAGGTTTCAGGTGTACAACGTAATGACTTAAATATATTCTGAGATTATTATCACAGTAAGTTTAGTTAGCATCCACCCTCTCACATAGATACAAAAGAAAAAAGGAAAAACAATTTTCCCCTTGTGATGGAAACTCTTGGGGTCTACTCTCTTGACAGCTTTCCTGTACACCTCACAGCGGCCTATCAGCACCGTCATCACATCCCTGGTATCCCTAGTACTCATTTCACCTCCCACTGGAAGTTTATACCTTTTGACCACCTTCCTCCAATCCTTTCCCCCTACTCCCCACCTCTAGTAACCAAAAATTATGATTCTTTTTTTCTATGAGTTTGGGTTTTGGTTTGTTTGTTTAGGTTCTCATATAAGGGAGATTAAACAGCATTTGCCTTTCTCTTTCTGACTTATTTCATTTAACATAATGACCTCCAGGTCCATCCATGTTGTCATAAATGGCAGGATTTCCCTCCTTTTATGGCAAATATTCCACTGTATATATATCTACCTCAACCTCATTATCCATTCATCCATCAATGAATGCTTAGGCTGTCTCCATATCTTGGCTAAATACATTCCTAGCCCTGGTTGCTTCCCGCTCCAGTGTAATCCTGACCCCAGCCGATGCCCTCATCCTACTGCTATACCAGGTTCTGTTCCCATCCAGGGGATAAAATGCTGGACGGGATAGACACCATAAACTCCCTTCAAGTTTACTGCCTATAGAGATCAGAGATTCACCCTCCAACTGTAGTATATCAGAACCACATGAGTAAAAAAATGCACATTCCCTGGCCCCACCCTCCAGAATGTCTGATTCCATAGGTCTAGGGAAGGGCTCTGGAATCTGCCTTTTAGCTTGCCTAAATGATTATAGTTGGAGGTGAACCACAGGCCATTCTGCAAGAAATACTGACCCAGAGGATAACAACATAAGCAATTACAATAAAATACGGTAACTGCTACAAAGGGGCCTTCCAAGGTGAGTCACAGAAGTCCTCCCAGAAGTGCTTTTCAGGGCCAGTGTGAGGCAGGGGGTGGGAGGGAAGATGAGCACACTGCCCTTAGAGCTGGACCAGCCCTTTGATTCACTCAATAGACATTTTCTGACAAGTAATATGGAGTATGAACAGGCCAGTACTGGGTAATGGGGACACAGAAGAAAACCCTCAAGGAGCTCACATTCCAGAGTGGTACCCTGGCAGCATATTCGAATCTCCTAGGCTCCAACTCAAACTAATTATACCAGAATCTGAAAGTGGGCCCTAGGCTTCAATATTTATTTTTAAAACTCTCCAGATCTTCTAACAAACAGCCAAGCCTGAGAACCAATTGTATTAGAGCAATGGTTCTCAAAGTGTGAGCTTCAGCATCACCACATATTAGAGATGAGGATTTTCAAGGGCACCTAAGTGGCTCAGTTGGTTAAGTATCTGCCTTCGACTCAAGTCATGATCTCAACGTCCTGGGATCAAGCCCCGTGGCGGGCTCCCTGCTCAGTAGAGAGCCTGCTTCTTCCCCTCCCTTTGCCCCTCCCCCCACTCGTGTTCTCTCTCTCTCAAATAAATAATTAAAGTCTCTAAGAAAGAAATGCAGATATTCAGCTCCCACTCCAACCCAACTGAAACAACATGGATGTGGAGCCCAGCAATCTGTGTTTTCACAAGCCTCTACCTTTCATCAACCCTCTACCAGGTTGATTCTCCTCCATCAAGTCTACACTGGGGCATGAGCCCCAACCTTGACTACACATTGGAATCACCAGGAGCTTTAAAAAGAAATATATATATATATAATACTATATATATAATAATATAATAAATATATATATATATAAATACTTAAATATATATTATATATTTTTTTACTTATTTTAGAAAGAGAAAGTACAAGCGGGGAGAGGGGCAGAGGGAGACAGAGAACCTCTAGTAGGCTCTCCACAAAGCCCAAAGGGGGGCTCCATCTCATGGAGAGATGAGATCATGACCTGAGCAGAAATCAAGAGTCGGCACTTAACCAACTGAGTCACCCAGGCACCCCACCAGGAGTTTTAAATACTACTAAACCTGGAACCTACCCCCTATATGTTCTGATTGGTGGGGGGGCTAGTGTGATTCTCGAAGAGTAACAAGTGACCTTCATGATTCTTAATGTGCAGCCAGATGCAGAGAACCACTAATCTAATGGTGGTTCTCCAACTTGAGCATAAATCGGAATGCCCTGGAGGGTGGGCAAATCAGAATGCCCTGAAGGCTGCTGGATCCCACCCCAGAACTTCTGATTCTGTTTATGTGGGATAGGGCTGAGAATTCAAAAATTTTCATTTCTAACAAGTTCCCAAGTGACACGGCTCCTGCTGATCTGGGACTAGAAGAGGTAGGCAGGCACATAAAGAGGCCAAGCACAGTGTGACCAGTATGGGAGACCTCCACTGTGTGTGACAAGATGGGACAGGGAGGGGTCAGCCGAAGCATCCTCCTCAGCCTCCCTTTCTCTAGAACTCAGCACTCCCTGTTGGAGGATTTGGCTCATCCCCTCTATGGACCACAACAGGTTCAGTAACAGGTTGTGTTACTCAATGGATACCTTCCCCAAAAGTTATGTGTGACTCTAATTTTTACTAATTAATTTCAAGGCTGATGCACAGGGTGGGGGTAAGGGTAGTAGCGGACAGGTAAATAAATTTTGGTTCATCCACTCAATACTGTAAAGCCCTGAAAAAAATAATGAAGCAACTCTGTATAAAGGAATATGAAATGATTTCCAAATAAGTAGTTTCGAAAATAAATAACCAAATACAGATCAGTATATATAGTTTGATCCCATTTTGGGAAAAAGGGAGGAAAAAAGCATACACATATGTGCTTATATTTGCACCAAATATCTCTGGAAAGATACATGAGAAGCCATAGCAGTACAATCTCAGGGTGGAAACTGGATAGCCCAGTAGGAGGGAGACCAAATGCTTACCACATACACCCTTTTGCTTGCTTCCTTGCTTTTTTGCTTTTTTCCTAAGAGCAGAAGTTACTATCTCTAAAGTAAAGAAAAAATATTACATTAAAAAAAATAAAATGCCCTATGGTGAATGAACTCTTTGGTGACACAAGTAAAACCCCTTCCTGGGTGAATCTGTTGGGTCACTTTGGAAGTGTATACCATAGGCTGGCTCAAGAGAGCAGGCCCTGGTCAGTGGGTCAGCTGTGAGTACTCCCTCATCTTTCTTGGGAGCTCCTTCTCCCATCTATCCCAGGAACTCCCTGCAGTCTTTTTTTTTTCTTTCCAGTTTTCCTTTGCATCCCCTTGAAACATCTGGTTGAAATCTCTCTGCATATCAGATCATCATGGAATGGAATGAATAGAAACAGCAGGTGCCCAGTGCTGTGAAGAGGGAGCCGAGGCAGATTCCTGTGTGAGCAAATCCCTGCATGGTAGCTCGGCCCTGCGTGCTCTGTTCAACACGCAGAATAAAACCCTGCAGGCCGTGTTAAGCCAGCACAGAGAGCCCTCATCCTCTGTCCTGACAGTACAAAGGGGAGAGGCGGTGGGACCGGCACAAGGGACAGGCTATGCATCCGACGCCTTCCAAATCCTGCCTCCTCCCACCTGCTGGCTCTGTGACTCTGGGCAAGTCACGGACCCCTCTGGTTTGCACATGGCATGTTAGTGCCTGCATGTAACATGCCCCACGCACACAAGGTGCTTGAGAAATATTTATCTCATGTCCCTACTTCCCTTCCCTGAAGCTTCAGGTCACCACAGACACAGTGAAGTAGACACAAGGTAAACAATGAGGACAAATCTGCGTCCCGCATTAGACACTGGGAAGAGTCAGGCCTCACCCTCACTGGAAGAGTCTTCTGGTTCCACAGCCTTTGGGCCCTTACAGGTCCCTGAGGAGAGCAACAACAGTTAGTGGTTCCCATGCCCTGGACCCCATCACTGACTTAGAGGAAAGGATGGGACATCATGTGAGTCCCAACCACAAAGAGTAAGCCCTCCTGTGCTTTCTTCACTAGGGAGAGCCAGGCTGGAATGGTGGTCACAAGCTCAGACTCCGGGAGCCAGAGAGACCAGAGTTCATGGTCCAGCTCTGCCCATCACTAGCAGCGCACAACATGGGGAGTCCTGGAACCTCACCAAGTCCCAGCCTCCTCATCTAGAAAGTGAGGTTGATAATGGCCATCCCCACATTAAATTGTAGGGATGATGTAATTAGACAATGAATCTAAAGTGCTTGGCGAAGCACATGGCACACATCCTAGCCCCAGCCCTCGGGATGTTCGGGGCCACAGGGATAGTGCCTCTCTGAACTGGTTGCAAAGCTGGGAAAGACACGTCTGACCTAGAGGCAGGGAATGGGGAGAGACGTGTGGGTTTGCAAGAAAAGGCAGGAGAGTGGCTAAAGAGAGGACAGAAGAAGTGGGATGGAGTATGAAGGGCCAGGTTTCATAAGCAGCTGGCCAAGGTCTTCCAAGCAGGGGCAGAGTCCCCTGTAGGTTACCGGCTCCCTTTAGACACCAGCACTACATCCGTTACACACACACACACACACACACACACACACACACACACCACAGTAACACACCAGGGTGCCCCAGAGGAAGACAGCACATACTCTAAATAGGCCACAATCACATCGATTTGGGGTCAACTTGTTACACACTGGGACCAAGGTGAAAGTGAGTATCTCGAACCACAGGCATGAGGAATTAGAGAAAACCTCTTCATGAACCCCACTCCATCAATCACTGCCTCCAGGGTCCTCACCCTTCCCCATGTCTCCACCACCCCACAGAGAAGAGCAGCCACCACCCCCACCCTCATTCTATAGCCTGACTGGTGGGGAAAAGAGAGAGAAGAGGCCAAGACAACAACCAAGACTGTGACAAAATATCCCATGTGGACTTACCCTCCTCCTTCCTGAGAGACATGGTCCGAATCTACAAAGATGCAAACAGAGCAGGTTACAGCCAGCAGGAAACTCTGCTCTGAGCAGTGGGGCTGCCTGGCACCATAAAGAAGGGACACCCACTGTTTCTGTGCCACCCATTGGGAACTAGAAGGAGCTCCGCGTACACTGCCCCAACCCCCCAGCACATCCCCCCACCATCCATACGTGAGAGAGGATGGCACCAAGGCCAAATGGCAGCAAGCAGGATGCCATCAGGCTTCATTTCCCCACAGTGGGGAAGAAAGAATGCCCCCTCTTCAGAAAGGGAGTGTGACTTGAAGGTCAGGAGTCCCATGCAAGCAGAGTGAGACAGGCACATAGCAATACTAACGGTACAACTAGTAGACAACCAGAGTGAGGAGCTCCCTCCCCTGAGGTGGGCATCTGAGCTGAGTGCCCCCTGGGAGGACAGAGGCATGATATGGACAGTCACTAAATTGTCTGCCCAGCCCCCCTTTCCCAGAAGGTGCCTCCTTCCACACAACTGCACACGGGACAGCCACTCATGATATGACCCCATGCCACAGCCACAGCTGACTGTCTAGGTTGGGCCAGAGAACTGAACTGGTAACGTGAAGTCGAGAGCCAGTGGCAGCCAACTGGTTTTGGTTTTCTTTGTTTACATGTTTGCTTTTTTGTTTTGCCACATGGGACAAATATGATGTGAAAGCCGATCTTTAAAATAAAAGAAAAAGTTGAAACAGATCTAGAGAAAAGAACAGAGACACACAGCAAAAGAAAACTTCTGATGACATTCATGTCTCTGGTTCCAGTTAATCCCAGATTCAGCTGCTCTCCTGCTTTGAAATCTCTAAGACACCCTGTCTATCTTTATAACAAACCCCCTCTTCTGCTTAAGCTTGAGTTGTTTTTTTTTATTATCTGCTGATGAATGACACATCCAATGTCGGTTTCCAACTACTTCCTCCTTTGCCTGCCTCTATTCTAGAGACTCTAAACTATTTGCTTTCCAACCTTCCTTGCAGCTATGGTTATCCATGTAATATGGCTTTGACCAATAAAATATAAGCAAAAGTCTTAGGAAGGGGCATTTTCCTCAAATTTTTCTATTGAAATATGGTTGTGATGGTTGGGGCTATGGCAGCCATCTTGCAATTATGAGAGTCAAGCTTAAGAACAGAGTCACGGGATCCCTGGGTGGTGCAGCGGTTTGGCGCCTGCCTTTGGCCCAGGGCGCGATCCTGGAGACCCGGGATCGAATCCCACATCGGGCTCCCAGTGCATGGAGCCTGCTTCTCCCTCTGCCTGTGTCTCTGCCTCTCTCTTTCTCTCTCTCTCTGTGTGACTATCATAAATAAATAAATTTTAAAAAATTAAAAAAAAAAAGAACAGAGTCACCATGCTGAAGATGGTAAAAAGAAAAACTGAGTCTGGATTTCCAATGGCATAATTTTACTGCCAAACCAAGGCTGTCAACTGTCACCTCTTTTGCTGTTACGATAAAAATATACTATTAACCTATTCTAAGTCCATGGTTAACCAATGGGTTCCTTAGTGAAATATTTGCAAACAAGAATCCTGGGTAACAGAAGAAGAAATCTCCAGACTGGACCCGAGGTGGCCAAACCAATGAAGAGCTAAGTGAGGGGACAACAGTAAAAAGAAAAGTAGCAGGGGAGGAGGTTAGATATGTTACCTGGGTGAAGTAAGGCTGAGAGACCAGAAAAGCAAAAAATAGCTGGGATGCAGGATTAAGAAAACTGAACTAGTGACAGCAGGTGCTCTGCTCAGAGAATCTGTGTGAATGGTGGCATCAGAACCATGGCAAGGACCCCAGGCCACAGAGGGGCCCCTCTATGGCAGCTACCCCTCTCTGCTGACCTGCACCTCAGAAAGGGGAGCTGAGCCTGGAGTAGGCAGAGAGGTGGAGAGTCCTAGGGGCCAGTTCTAGGAGAGAGGTGCTTCGTGATAGGTGTCTTATAGATCATATTAGTTTATCCAACAGTCTCATCAGAGGCATTTAATTTAGGGAAAGGGTATTAGTCAGAAAAGTATGCCTGAGAACACAGTGAAAAGGGCACAAGCTTTGCATTCCACTGCCTGGCCAGGGCTGGATCCTCCCTGGCTCTTACAGGGTGTGCTATGTGGACCCAAGGGAGGCACCTGACTTCTCCAGCCTGCTCCATCATCTGTCAGGTGGAGATGGGGGAAAGCCAACATCTGCCTTAAAGGGCAGTCGTGAGGTTTAAATGAGGAAATAAGCAAGTATCAACCAACTGCTGGAACTTACATAGTCTCTGGTGTTAGTGTGAACCTAGTAACACAGCCCTTAAGGACAAGGTGCATCTTCAGCCTCGAAAGAGAGAGGCTGCATCCTCATAATCCTGTATCCCCTGAAGCCTAAGGACCATTCTCTCTCCTTAAAGAGCCTCACTGAGCACCTGGGTGGCTCAACGGTTGAGCATCTACCTTTGGCTCAGGGCATGATTCCAGTGTCCTGGGATCAAGTCCCACATCAGGCTCCCCACAGGGAGCCTGCTTCTCCCTCTCTCTCGGTGTCTCTAATGAATTAATTTAATTTAATTATTTAATTTAATTTAATTTAATTTAATTTAAAAAGCCTCACACTAATGAGACCACTACCAGTGAGTCCTGGAAATTGAGGGAAATCCTCACAGAAACAAGATCTAAGGGCCTGGGGGCCTTGCTGGGAGAAGGGACAGACTTACCATCTGCTTCTGGGAGGCAATGCTACTAGCATATTTCTGAAGCTGGGCCTGGAGAGCACTGATTTGCTGCTGGGACTGGGCAGCTGCTTTCTGCTGATCCTCAAACATGTAGGCCTGGAGCTTTTCCTTCTGCTCCTGCAGCTGGGGGGCACAGGACACTCAGTCATTATCGCAGGGATCCCTGAGAGCCCAGTATCTGCAGACCTGCATCTTTAGGCAAATGCTGGCTGCGGTTTCACCTGAAGCAGGGGTAGAGGGTCTCCAGACCTGGGCAGGTGACTTTCTAACAAGACAGACTACTTTCCAGGTTGGGAACATTTCTCAAGCTATGCTCGAGGGTTAGCAAGAATTGGATACAAGCCTCTAAGATCAAGGCAGAAAGGCTCTCTGTCCAGTGTGGCAACCCACAGAAGGACAGTCCAATAACTTGAGGCCATTCAGAAGTCATCAAATGATGTTTTTAGGTAAAAAGAAAAGGTGAAGAAAATATGGTCACATGCTGTTGCACGAGGAGAGAGAAAATGCGAACTGTTTCTAATTGCAAAAAGAAACTCTAGAAAAATAACACAAGAGAGCAGTGAAAGTGATCAGCTGTGGGGTGGGTGCTGGGCAGGTATGGATGATGGAGATGGGCTGGAAATGAACCTTAATATATTTCAGTGCATTGTACTGAGTGTATCTTAATATATTTCTTCCACTTTGGGAATAAATTGAAATGTATTTCCCATTTTAAGACGTTTCAAATAAAATCAAACCATCAGATGGGAATTACTGGAAACGGAGGTGTCTATCACGCTCTAGCCTCTGATCTGAGCACTTGTCATCTTCTGAGCTTCCCGCAGGCAGCTCCTGGGGCTCTGGTTAATCGGCTTCCTCCTCAACTTGCTTTCTCCTTGGGGGCATTTTCATAGAAGCTGTTTTCTCATCCTGAGGCCTGCTGCTCTCTGATCCCTGGGCTCCGTATCTGAGCCCTTCCATTTGACTCCCCCTGAATATAGCTGAAGTCCACAGCCACCCGGTTCTCTCCTGGTGGTGTCAAAGGGCCCAAACATGAAATGACCAGGCAATTCTTCTGAAGTCTCCAGGACAGCTCTCCTTGGAGGGCCTGAAGGGGTCCTTGCATAGGGGACCACAGAGAAGAGCAGATTTGGGGTTCAGAAGAGAAGCCTCGGCAGCCCCAATTCCTGGTCCGGTAGGCTGCTGTCCAGGCAGCTGACTCCTTCCGAATATTGACAGGGGCCAGCTGCCAGGAAAGCTATCAGCAACAAAATACCAACCAACCAGTTCGAGGAGGGTAGTGCTGGAGAATGGGGGTGCCATAGGATGAGACAAGGTCTCGGGAAACCAAGCTCCCCCCAGACCACCCAAGCCAAGCTACCTCTCGCTTCTGAGCTGCATGCTCTTTCTGCAGTTCCTTCATTTTTCTCTTCCATTCTGTTTTCTGAAAAAGATAACTGTTTGACAACTGGGCCTCTAGATATTAAAATATACTCTAAAGCTAAGGAATGAAAAAGTATTGGCTCGTGATTCAGCAGAGCAGTGAAAAGAATAGAAAGCCCAAAGATAGGGGGGGTGGCGGGAATGAAATCTTAGTCTGAAGGAAGATAGATTATTGACAAATGGAGTTCAAACAGGTGATTAACTGCCTGGGGGAAAAATATACGATCTTGAATCTTATTTCGTATCTTAAGCCAAATAAGTTGTAGGGGCGTCAAAGATTTAAACTTAAAAAACCAAAGTGACATCAGCAAGGTGGGGCAATGGAAGGTTCCAGCTCTCAAACCGCCCACAGGTGAGGATTCCTTTATGGGAGCCCTGGAATCCAGCAGAGAGTTTCTAGCACCTCAATGGAGCAAAAATAACCTGAGAATAGATTCATTCCAGAGAAGTTTCACTGGCTTACATCTGCTCTGCTCTCCCCAAGGTGGCACAGCTCAGTGCCAAGAGAGACTCTCTCAGCCCGCAATTTTCCCCACAGGGGAAAGTGAGAGTGAGGGAGCACCACTGCCCCAGCCTCCCAGGATGCTGCCCAGGAGGCCCAATTCTGTCCCTCTCAGAACTGAGGGAAAGGGCAGAGCTGAATCAGCCTGTGGTGCTGGCATAGCAGATCCAACTGGCTTGCCTGTGGACACGGGGAAGTGTAAGATGAGAAGTTCTTATATGCAACTGATATTAAGTTGTTATCAGCTTAAAATAGACCACTGTACTAGAAGATATTTTATGTAAGCCTCATACTAATCACAAAAAAACCTATAGCAGATATGCAGAAGATAAAGGAATCAAAGCATACCACTCTAAAATAAAATCATCCAATCAAAAAGGAAGGCAGCAAGAGAGGAGGAAAGGACAAAGCAACCACAAAACAATCTGAGAACAATTAACAAAATGGCAATAGGAAGTCCTTACCTACCAATAATTACTTTAAATTTAAATGGATTAAGTTCCCTAAGCCAAAGACAGAGTGAGTGAATGAATTAAAAAACAAACAAACAAACAAACAAACAAGATCTGGCTATGTGCTGCCTGTTAAGAGACTCACTTTAAGAACACGCATAGTCTGAAACCAAAGGGATGGAAAAAGATATTTCATGCAAACGGTAACCAAGAGAACAGGGGTAGCTATACTTCCATTAGGTGACACATGCTTTAAGTAAAAAACTGTTACAAGAGACAGAGAAGGTCACTATATAATGATAAAGGGGTCAATTCATCAACGGAATACAATTATTAATACATATGCATCCAACATCAGAGCACCTATATACATAAAGCAAATATTAATACAACTAAAGGGAGAAGTTGCAATACAGTAAGCGCATGGGGCTTCCATGGCCCCCTTTCAACAATAGATAGATCATCCAGACAGAAAACCAATAAGGGAACACTAGACTTGAATAGCACTATAGACCAAATGGACCAGACAGACATATATAGAACACTCTATCCAAAAGGAAAACCATCTATGGAATGGAGAAAATATTCTGCAAACCACATATCTGACAGGGGTTCATATGCAAAATATAAGGAACTTATACAACTCCGTTAGAAAAAAAAATTAAGGACCCAAATAGGCATTTCCCCTAAGTTGGCCTACAACATCATTAATCAGCACAGAAATATAAATCAAACCACAATGAGATATCATCTCACACCTGTCAAGATGGCTATTATTTTTTTTAAAAACAAAATATAACAAGTGTTGGTCAGGATGTGAAGAAAAGGGAACCTTCATACCATGTTAGTGGCAATGTAAATTGGTATAGTTATTATAGAAAATAGCTATAGAGTGGAAGTGCCTCAAAAAATTCAGAACCAACTTACTCATTTTCCCCAAGTATCTCCCACATATAAATGAGTTATACTTGTTAATAAACCTGTTTACCTGCTGTTTAAAAAAATTAAGGGGTACCTGGGTGGCTCAGTCGGTTAAGCTTGATTTTGGCTCAGCTCACGATCTTGGAGTCATAGGATTAGCCCCATATTGGGCTCCATGCTCAGCAGGAAGCCTGCTTTTCCCTCTCCCTCTGCTCCAACCCCTGCTCATATACTCTCTCTCTCTCTCTCTCTCTCTCTGTCTATCTCAAATAAATAAGATCTGGGATCCCTGGGTGGCGCAGCGGTTTGGCGCCTGCCTTTGGCCCAGGGCACGATCCTGGAGACCCGGGATCGAATCCCACGTCGGGCTCCCGGTGCATGGAGCCTGCTTCTCCCTCTGCCTGTGTCTCTGCCTCTCTCTCTCTCTCTGTGACTATCATAAATAAATAAAAGTCAAATAAATAAGATCTTTTAAAAGAATTTAAAATAAAACTACCATAAACTTTGACAATCCCACTTCTTAATATTGATCCAAAAAACTGAAATCAGGATCTCAAAGCATACTCACCCCCCCCATGTTCCCTGCAGCATTATTCACAATAGCCAAAATATGGAAACCTAATAATCCATTGACAGATGAATGGATAAAGCAAACATGGCACATACATACACTGGAATGCTATCCAGCCTTAAAAAAGAAGGAAATCCTACATCAACATGAATGAACCACAAGGACATTACACTAAGTGAAATAAGTCAGACAAGAAAAACACTGTATGATCTCACTTATGTGTGGAATCTAAAATAATCAAACTCATAGAAACAGAGAATGGTGGTTGCCAGGGGTTAAGACGGGGAGAAAATGAAGAGGTTAGGGTCAAAGGGAACAAGGTCTGTTATGCCAGATATATTGCATACTTAAAACTTGCTAAGAAGATAGATCTTATGTTGTGTTATTACCACATACACAATGAAAATAATAATAATAATAATAATGATAATAATAGTAATGATGGGAGGAAACTTTAGGAGGTGATGGCTATATATGACTGTGATCTGATGGTGGTGATGGTTTCAAGGGTAAATACTTACCTCAAACTCAGAGTTGTGTAAATCAAGTATGTACAACTTTTTACATGCCAATCATAGCTCAGTAAAGAGGTATATATGAATGAAGGAATAAATAAGTAAATAAATAAATAAGGCCATAAAGGCAGTAAAAGAAAACACAAAAACATTTTCTTCTTAAACCTCAGGGTGTCCATAAACAAAAGATTGATTATTTGATCATTTGGACCACACAAACATGATTAATTTCATATGGCCTAACCACCATAAACAAAATTAAAGGAACAATGTGGGGAAATAACCCCAAGAATGAGAAAGGGTTGGGTTTAAGTTCCATATATTATACAAACTCTCTAATTGGTAAGGAAATCAATAGAAAATGAGGCAAAGGATGTAAACAGAGATCACAGGGGGAAAAAAATTAGCTTTTCTTACTGGGAAACTTGTAAAGTAGTTAGACCTTAAGCTCTTTCTTAGCAAATCTTAGCAGAAACAGAAGCACCGATGTAGTGACGGTGCCCATGGCCAGCCCTTCCTTGCCATGGAGTGATCAGCGGTGCAGACCATGTCTAGCTGGACTGTTGTAAGATTCATCCAGCAGTGACCAGAGCAGAAGAGCAGACTGTGCACAGCCTCTCCAACTCCATATCCAGACTCAGAATGGGGCAGCATGAAATCGGCCAGGAGAAAAGTTACACCATGGAAAATGGCAATGGCTACAAATTAAATCTTTTTAGGTCCCAAGAGTGGTTTTTAAATATTTACCATCACCCACTTAGACCCACCGCAAACTCCTTCAAACCCAGGAGACTGTCACACTTCCTAACAGTTGTTTTCAACTGGGTTGGACTCAAAATGAGGGTAAAGGTACCCAATAAGGGGCATAACCGTATGTATTTTGAGAAGATCCCGGGTAAACCTGCTATTGCACCCCTGTATATCACCAGCCTCACCTGAGAACCCTAGGAATCCTACCCAGTGCTTTCACGTACTGGCAGAGGTCTGTAAATACAAAACCTGATACCTTTCAACTTCTGTAAAACCACAGAGCAAAACCGAGAAACTTTGTTAAGAACAACATGATTCAGATCCCTGGGTGGCTCAGCGGTTTAGCGCCTGCCTTTGGCCCAGGGCGTGATCCTGGAGTCCCAGGATCAAGTCCCTCATCAGGCTTCCAGCACAGAGCCTGCTTCTCCCTCCTCCTGTGTCTCTGCCTCTCCCTCTCTCTCTCTATGCCTATCATAAATAAACAAACAAACAAATAAATAAATAAATAATAAAATGAATGAATGAATGAATGAATGAATCTTTTAAAAAAAAGAGAACAACATGATTGGCTGTGAGAGAAAAGGCAAGAGTTACCAGCTCACCTGAATGTCCATCTTCTCCTTCAGGGCCTGGAGCTCCTGACTCTGCTTGACTTGCAACTGAGACTTATCCAGAAGCAACCTGAGATTAGACTCCATCATACTGTGGGACTGGGACTGCAGCATCTTCAGTTTCTGAAAAGCCAGGACACAGTTTTATTTAGATGAAGATCTAATCCTGATGTTGCCTTTTATACCTTGAGCAACATCAGAAGGGCACACCTTAACCGACCACAAACTCCAGCTTGTCCTCACTAGACATCTACGTGGCTGCGCATACCCACACAAGTCTGCATTCTCCCCCACGAGGCTTCCCCTGAGAGCTCATGCTTACACAGGAGAAGCAGGTTCCCGTGGACCAACAGAATTCAAGAGCAGAATTTCAACTATACTGAAATTCAGCTGTACCTGAAACCCAGAACTCACCAGACAGCTGCCCCATTTCCTCTTCAGTCTCAAATAGGCTGAAGAGAATCAGACTCTTAGAGCCTTTGGGAGGGTCTCAGGCACTCTGGACCATTCCCTGAGGACTCCTGTCCGTCCTCCCACCAGAAAATGCTGCCTGTCACCAAGAAGGCCTGGCTCTGCATGGCTTGGAGTGGTGTCACCAATACCTAATGATTCCCAAACTACTAGTATATAATCTGAAAGAAAAGGCACAGAAAAGTGGATCCAAGAGAAGAGGCCTTTCCACCTATGGTTATTATTTTTTTAATTTTTATTTATTTATGATAGTCACACACACAGAGAGAGAGAGAGAGGCAGAGACATAGGCAGAGGGAGAAACAGGCTCCATGCACGGGGAGCCCGACGTGGGATTCGATCCCAGGTCTCCAGGATTGCACCCTGGGCCAAAGGCAGGCGCCAAACCGCTGCACCACCCAGGGATCCCACCTATGGTTATTTTTTTAAACATACCACTGCTGTAGTCACAAAAGGAAATTAGTTCCATCTCTATCATCAAACAAAACTCATAAGCCCTGTTAAAGCTTTAAAGAACTGCAAGTCCCTGAGTTTAACTTGTTCTCATTCTGGCTAATCTTTAACTCCTCTCTACTGCTAGAGCAATATCAGGTACAAATGTTAACCATTTCTAATGGAGTGTTTTCGTAGCGTCAAATGCTTTATCAAGTGTATGCACAACCCTCAGCTTCTGATGTGCCATTTCTGTCTTCACACTGATGCTCACAACAACCAGAGAGCTGGCTCTCTCGGCATAACAAACCTTCATGGCAATTTCCACTCAGCTAGGGACTCCTTTGGCAGCTGGATTTAGTGTACGTCTTATCTAAAGTTCTCTCTGGCTTTTTCGCAACGGGTTTGCCACCAGAACACAGGTGTCGTAAAAACCACCGCTAAACCTAAACCAAAATGGGAAAGGAGAAGACTCACATCAACATCGTCGTCATTGGACACGTAGATTCGGGCAAGTCTACCACTACTGGCCATCTGATCTACAAATGTGGTGGGATCGACAAAAGAACTATCGAAAAATTTGAGAAGGAGGCTGCTGAGATGGGAAAAGGCTCCTTCAAGTATGCCTGGGTCTTGGATAAACTGAAAGCTGAACGTGAACATGGTATCACCATTGATATCTCCCTGTGGAAATTCGAGACCAGCAAGTATTATGTGACCATCATTGATGCCCCAGGACACAGAGACTTTATCAAAAACATGATTACAGGCACATCTCAGGCTGACTGTGCTGTCCTGATTGTTGCTGTTGCTGTGTGTTGGTGAATCTGAAGCAGGTATCTCCAAGAATGGGCAGACCCGTGAGCATGCCCTTCTGGCTTACACACTGGGTGTAAAACAACTAATTGTTGGTGTTAACAAAATGGATTCCACTGAACCACCCTACAGCCAGAAGAGATACGAGGAAATCGTTAAGGAAGTCAGCACCTACATTAAGAAAATTGGCTACAACCCCGACACAGTAGCATTTGTGCCAATTTCTGGTTGGAATGGTGACAACATGCTGGAGCCAAGTGCTAACATGCCTTGGTTCAAGGGATGGAAAGTCACCAGTAAAGATGGGAATGCCAGCGGAACCACACTGCTTGAAGCCCTGGATTGCATTCTGCCACCAACTCGTCCAACTGATAAGCCCTTGCGTCTGCCTCTCCAAGACGTCTACAAAATTGGTGGTATTGGTACTGTCCCAGTGGGTCGAGTGGAGACTGGTGTTCTTAAGCCTGGTATGGTGGTCACCTTTGCTCCAGTCAATGTTACAACTGAAGTAAAGTCTGTTGAAATGCACCATGAAGCTTTGAGTGAGGCTCTTCCTGGGGACAATGTGGGCTTCAATGTCAAGAACGTATCTGTCAAAGATGTTCGTCGTGGCAACGTGGCTGGTGACAGCAAAAATGACCCACCAATGGAAGCAGCTGGCTTCACAGCTCAGGTGATTATCCTGAACCATCCAGGCCAAATCAGTGCTGGATATGCACCTGTGCTGGATTGTCACACAGCTCACATTGCTTGCAAGTTTGCTGAGCTGAAGGAAAAGATAGATCGTCGTTCTGGAAAGAAGCTGGAAGATGGTCCCAAGTTCTTGAAATCTGGGGATGCAGCCATTGTTGATATGGTTCCTGGCAAACCTATGTGTGTTGAGAGCTTCTCTGACTATCCTCCTCTGGGCCGTTTTGCTGTTCGTGACATGAGACAGACGGTTGCTGTGGGTGTCATCAAAGCAGTGGACAAGAAGGCAGCTGGAGCTGGCAAAGTCACCAAGTCTGCCCAGAAAGCTCAGAAGGCTAAATGAATATTATCCCCAATACCTGCCACCCCAGTCTTAATCAGTGGTGGAAGAACGGTCTCAGAACTGTTTGTGTCAATTGGCCATTTAAGTTTAATAGTAAAAGACTGGTTAATGATAACAATGCATCGTAAAACCTTCAGAAGGAAAGGAGAATGTTTTGTGGACCATTTTGTTGTTTTTTTTTTTTTTTGTGCGTGTGTGGCAGTTTTAAGTTATTAGTTTTTAAAATCAGTACTTTTTAATGGAAACAACTTGACCAAAAATCTATCACAGAATTTTGAGACCATTAAAACAAAAGTTTAATGAGAAACCTGTCTTGTTTTGGTCAACACTGTAGCCTTGTTATAGTATTCAGGTAAAAGATTTGGAGTTGCACAGAACCTTATTTCTAGTGTTTAAACTGAAATTTGGGTTGGCTTTTCCTGGATAGGAACTTGGAAGTTTTTTCATCTTAAGGGCAAGAAAGTTAAAATACATAGTAAAAACAAAGTAAAAACAATGCTATAGGAAAAAGGGGTCTGTTGGTGCAACACACTTTCTCTTAGATAAGCAGAGTAACACCGTATGATAGTTTATAGAAACAGGTTAAATTCTGTAATACCAAAGTCTGTGTGTTGCATAAAAAATTTGTATTCTGTCACTATGAAGTAAACTTGTTAATGGCATGTTTTTTTTTTTAATGGCATGTTTTTGTTTTCTCAGTTACTGGAATGCATTGTCACATAAATGTTGAAGTACCCTAAAATGTGAAGCATTTGATAGCATTTTACTTCATAGAAAGGTTAATTGTATCTAGATAGTAGAAAAACAGCTACTGGAGTTCAGTCACTTAACTTAGAAATTCAGCAAGGTTGGGTGAAGAGGGAACAATAACAGCACTTGGAGTAAACCCAGTTTGAAGAGGTGCAATGGGAAATGTAATGAGAGGAAGGACTCCTTTGGACTGGAGTGTAGGGTAAACTTTATAACCTGAAAATGTCTTGGTTTGCTGTCATTCCAGTAACATCCCCTAATGAAGGGAATACTGAAAGATGACAGTTTGAAATCTATGATAAACAGGATGAAAAGCAAACAGCTCTTGAGAAATGAGTGGTAACCTACAACAAATTGTGAATTTTAACAGTATTTGGGTGACAATTACCAAATTCCTGGCTTTGGAAAGCTGGCAAACGCTTATTAATACTGGTATATTTGAGATACTGCTATGTGGATTTTGAGCATTTAAAGACCCTATTTGATCCTAAAACTTCTGCTATGAAAGGGAAGTCATTTCTCTAAGCTGCTTTGAAGTGTGGCAGAAAGCATACAGGACACTTTGTAATTTATGACCATGCTAAGTGAAATGTCTTACCAACTTCCGTAGAAAGTGACTGCAATGGAAAAATCTCCATTTAGTTCTAAACTAGGTAAAATGGTCTCAACAGTACCACCAGGGGCACTGATGAGGCCTATAAATTAGAAACTAATAAAAGAATTTCACAACTTAAAAAAAATAAAATAAAAAATAAAGTTCTCTCTGCAGTCAGGTAAAGTAGCAAAAGTAAGCTCACGGGCTTTTGCATCAAGAGGAAATTTTTGAGGAGAAACATCTTTGAAAAGTATTTCCCTCTCCTTGGCCCTCCTGACAGCAAGGGGAATCTTTTTTGTGTAATGAGATGGATGGTCTTACAGTGTTATTCACACTCATTGTCAATGAAATCTTATCTTTTTCTCCCCCAAATTAGGGGGAAAATAACAAAATAATTATCCAAGTACTGAGAATTCTGTATCCAGTTTGGTTCCTATAATAAAAGTAAAATAATAAAATGTCACATGAGAGGAGATGGGGGAGACATACAAACACAAAAACAATATAAGCAATCCTATAGAGGAAAGACCAAAAAAAAAAAATTGATGTTCTAATTGAGGAAAATGGGATCTAAGTTAAAAAGAAACCATGGATGGTAAGAATTAGGTCCTCATTCATCAAAAGTTAGAATTTCTGACCAAAGTAACCTTCTGACCTTTGATGAGGTAGTTTCCCAACAACAACTCCAAATGCACATCAAAACCTACCTCTCAAATGTCTAGTCAGCTACCACCACGTCAGGAGAGGAGTGGGAGTTGGCAGGGGTGTAGGCAAGCTCAAGAATGATGAGCATAGAGCTGGGGCAGTAGGGGCATGAGCTCCACATGGTGGAGCAGCATCTTGTCTCCACCATATCATCCCTGACCACACTGCAGGAACATTTAGCCCCCACAGATAGGAGGGCTTGGGTCACTATAGATACATAAACACACACACACACACACACACACACACACACTCACACTCCTCATCTCAACTCCACAGCCTTCCCCGTCCTTGGCTTCCCATCTCAGATTGAGACGTCAG